GGATTAAACTTCTGGAAAACAGTGGTCATTCCAGGATGAGACAAGCAGACTTGGAAGCCTGAGGGGGTGGGATAAAGGGGCGGATTATGGTAAGTCCTGACGGGCAAACGTGGTGTTGACGACCAAATGTCAGCACAAGCCAGGAGTGGGGCTGGAGGCTGGGGTGTTGGGGGTTGGGAAAGAACTGTGGCTCAGCCATGCTTCCTGCTCCCCTGACATTGTGCCCGGGCATCGTGGCAAAGAGGATTTGCACATGGTCTGTTCCTTCCCCTTCCAATAAACATGGCACCTGTCAGGACACTACAGCTTCCTAAATTAATTCTGTCATCAAAATGGTGTAAATTGTGATGGCATCTTCACTAATTCATCCCAACTCCCTGTAGTTTCTTGAAGCCATTTTTGGTGCTGTCACACAGACTTGCTTTGCAGTATACCGAGATGATCTCTTAACTTCAGCAACCAATTTGCTAAACTTGATAATAGGCAGTAAAGCAAAGTCAGAGATTTTGCACAGAGCTGAGTTCCCTTCCAGGTTCTGCACTTTCTCCTTGTGTCCTTTGGGGACCATGATTACCTTCTCTGCACCCTCAAGTTCCTCCCATATTGAAAATGGGACAAGAATTCATCATGGGTGGGAGGGGAGACTCAAAGATGTGTGTAAGCCCAGGAACTTGTAAGTGGCATGAAGTCGGCAGTAACTGATGAGGCTGATGCTGAGCTGGACCTTCTGTTGTGTACTGGAGATCAGTACCAAATCCTGCCCTTAGGGGGCGTGCTACCTAGTGAAGAGACAAGCTTGCAGACCATGTCATGATATGGCAGAGTGAGAAATGCTTCCATAGAAGGGGGCATATCAGAGTGGTATGCTGAGAGAGTGGGGTGCAGAAGAGGGTGAGACAACTTCCTGGAGGTGGTGATCAAAGCCATGGGTGCAACCCCATCTTGGATTAATCTGTAACCATTGCATGAATGATCAAGAGATCATCAGAAGATGCCAGTTAGTTCACTTCCTGGGCTGCTTGCTACGCAGCCCATTGAAAGCAAAAGGCCTTTCCATGCAAATCAAAGTGCTTCCTTCACATGGAGACTTAGAGGCTAAAATAACCTGGTTTCAGGCACCAGAGGTTTATAGCAACATACACTTAAAAGTTAAAGTTTGGGAGACCAGAGGGGCTGGTGACATAAGAAGCACCTACCGTGGGCCTATAGGAGATGAATTCATATCAGGTAAGAGTCACTATTTTTGAGCACCTGCCAGGCACTGCCACGTCCTTATCTCATTTACTCCCCTAGCGGCCCCATGAAAATTTGATCATCCCTCTTTTACAGAAAACAAAATTAAGACTCAGGGAATTTAAGATGAGTGAGCAGAGTTGTCCAGTGAAGCCATGGAGTCAGCACTAAAACACAGGTTTGTCTGACTCCAAAGTTCATGCACTCTCTGCTGTCCCAAGCAATCTCCAGAATATATATTTACACAGGCTCCTGCTCCTTCCTTTGCCAATAAACATGGCATTTATGAAGCTGTTTATGGTTTTCTAAATTATCGTTATTGCCAACTTGGCCAAAAACGGTTTGTGCATCTTAAACAGAAATAGGAGAGGTGTCTGGAGCGCAAGGATCTTTCACCACATCTGTCATGAGCAGGTGGTACTGACGGCCCTGATCAGCATGACGTGAGGCACTCCTCGTCATCCCGCTTTTTGCAATGTGACTTTGGAGCTTCTCTTGCAAAGAACCTATTTCCTTCTGTTCTATCAGGGCAGCTCTGATGACTATTATACTTTAGGGCCTCAGAGTGCCAGTGAGGGGTCTCTCCCACTGGAATTAAACCTTGGGAACACATGCTGTCACCTGGAACCCTGGACAAAGCAGCTGGGGACATGTGAGGGCACATAGAACAGAGTCTGCTTAGCCGAACTACTGCGGAAGGAACCTATCGCAGCTTCTGGGAGGTCTTGTTAACCACAGTCATCTGTGTAAGTCTAGTCACGCGCCTGTGAGTCCTGCCCAACTCAGCAGAAGCACCCAACTGATAGGTCCACTCATGAGAAATAATACGCTTGTTGTGCCAAGCTGCTAAGTTTTTGAGTGATTTTTAATGCATCAATAGTTAACTCATATAACCAAGAGTAATCTTTAATTAAAGGTCAATGAAGCTAAGCCATGTATTGTCTCATCTGTTAGTCAGGACTCCAGTCTGCTCTAAATGTTTCTTATAGAACTTTAGCCCGTCATCTCAGGCTCCTCTTTTATCATCGTGTTAGAAGTCCCCATGACTTTATTTTCTATATCACATTATTTTCTTCTCCTTTGTTGACAACTTCCTTGTTTTGATGAGTAAATCCTCTGGGAGTAGCCCAAAGAGGTTAGGAGACAACACAGATCTGAAAAGTCTTCATCCTCCCCTTGCCCTTCATGGCATAACTCAACGAGAATGCTGGTTTGAAGACATTTCAGAATTCTTCCGTCTTTTCATTGTGACAGTCTGATTCTATTCCGAGGCTTTGAATTTATCAGACAGCTGAAAACCAGTTTGGCTTCTCCCAACCTGCCTTTCTCCTTAAATCAGACGCTCCTGAGACCAATTTCTTTAGCCTTTTAATGTGATCCAAAAAATGCTTTCAGTGGGGCAATATGTACATCATGCTTTTTCTGTTATTATTGGTTCATCAGGAAATATACAAAAATCACAGGCAGTGCTGTGAAAAATCAACTCATAATAGTCATCCTACAGGCATGAATGGTAACTTATTCTGTGAAAACTCAATGTGGGTGAGTCCCAAAAAGGTATACCTGGGATCTAAAGTTGAATGGACCATGTTTTTCTAATTCTTAAGTACATTTTTTTTTAAGATTTATTTATTTATTCATACAGAACTGGGGTACAGGCCAGAGGCTCAGGGGCGGTGAGAGGCTTCAATAGAGACAGAGTGGGGAACAGAACAGGCAGATCTACTGAAACACACTGCTGAGGGGAGCAGTGGGCGGGTCAGGAGAGGTCTGCCATGCCATGTGGTCACCTCCGGGGCAGGCAGGAATCGAACTCATGCAGAAGTGGCTTTAGCTTCTCAGTGCTGCGCTTTAACCGGCTGCACCACCAGGGAGGGCCTCTTAAGTACATTTTACTCTTCTAGAGAAGTCAGAAGTTTCTGCTCTCCTAATCCTCTGTTATACCCGTACTAAGTAAATGTGGTTATGAAATATTTGGTATCATGGTTTCAATGTTAATTTTTGAGGGGTTCTGCTGGAAGAATCTATTCTGTTAGACTAGAATCTGAAATATATGGCTATGAAGGTGTCTTTCTCCCCTTTTTTATACTCACCCAGTATTAATTCAAATGAAGCCCTGGGGAGACACAAAAAAGATTTACAAGTGTTGAAAACATTACACCTGAAAGTCTTGGGTTGCTTTGCAAAATGATTAAAAGTTACCCCATTATTTTTATTGACAAGATTTGGTTCTATAACTTAGCCAAGTTGCACTGCCAGACTTGAACTTCTGAGGCAATAAGAGAGGTCCCCTACTCCTATCTTAAGAATACAGGTATGTCAAGAGGAGGACTAATAATAATAGAAGATAGGAGCATATTTAATCCCAAATGAATTGAAAGCAATTTTTTATCTCAGCCTATTTGTTGGGAAGGCCCAGCAGGGGTAGAAAATGGCTCTTAGTTGTGAGATTTATATTCATTGTGCCAAAGAGAGTCTGGAGACCCAGGGAGATGGGCGTTGCCCTTCAACCTGGTCCCAAGTACTTGCTGCATGGGTGAGCCGTGGGGTCTGCCACTGACCCCAGTCTGCACAGCAGGGAACACACTGATATCAGTGGATGTAAAATGGAGTGAGCTGATATTCTTTTTATTTTCTCTCATTGCATAAAAGACAGCTGGATATGCAACTGGCTGGAGATTTTCACAGAAGAAAAGAAAGAAAGTTTTCAAAGACCTTGATGGGGAGGAAGGCCTGAGGGTGGATGGGGACAGCAAAGGTTGGAGAATGAGTGTGGAAAGTGGGCATATTCTCCCCTTTAAATAAATCTTTCTGGGCCCTCTCTGGTGGCACAATGGGTTAGGACGCATCACTGAAAGCTGGCGGCAGCTGCCTTCAGTGCAAATTCAATCCCTAGCCCGGGAGGTGACCCACATGACACAGCAGACCTCTCCTGTCTCGCCCGCTGCTCCCCTCAGCAATACTTGGTCTATCTGTCTGTCCTGCTCCCCACTCTGTCTCTGGTGAATCCTCTCATGGCCTCTGCACCTCTGGCTTGTACACCAATTCTGTATGTACAAATAATCTTTTTAAATAAATAAATAAATCTTTCTGAATCACCTCTTTGTGCAAGTTCAGCCCTGATTTATATGGGAACTTTTTTTTGTTGTTGTTCCTTTCTGCTTTTTCTTTTTCCTGCCTGCGAAACACTGCCAATAAAGCATATCAATTTCGGTAACAGATAACCTTTCGTGGGGGCTAAAGGAAAGGGTTCCCATTTTCGTAGGAGCCCCTAATTTATAGATTCCACCCCATCTATTACAAGTAACCTTTGGATGTCCCAATGGGACCTCCTGAACTTACAAATAAAGACCACAGAGGACTTGCCAATGGGGAATAAATCCATTATTCTCTTGTTTGACCATAAAGCTGCTTATCTGGTGATAAGATCCCAGTGGTGGGAAACCATGTAAACTTTAGAGAGTTTCCAGCAGCATTAAGCTTACTCTGAGTAACAACTGTATGAGGGACAGTTGATTTGTTAATGTATAAATAATGCCATAAAAACATCAAACAGTATGTCCCCTGCTCACTCCCTTCTTGCCAAAATGTTCCTATCAGTTGGCTGCTGGCTCTGCTTTCTTTCGTTTCCACTGGCTTTTCCTTTTATTATAAGTTGCCAAAAGGTATTTCCATTTTGTTTTTAGATGTCATCATAGGATCAGGGTCTGTGCAATAAGAACCCACAAGCAGGAGGCTATGCAACATAGCGTGACTTTTTCACATTGCTTCAGGGGAAAGAACAGGTGGCCATATAAAAGCAGTTGAAGTGCTTCCTTTTACAATTCTAGGTTTCCCATGAGACAGGAAGCCTTCAGAACCTCATCTTCTCATCTTCTATGAGAGTTGGTTGAGTGGGGGCTCTGAGAACACTTTTCGGGGGACCAGTCACACAATTGTCTTGTTGGGTGAGAAACTGAAGGATCACAGCACAAAGCATTAAGGTGGAAGAAGTACAGATGTTTATTGTGAGTTGGTGACTGACACCCTTTTATGCCTCTGACAAAGTAACATAAAAAAGTCGTACTGATCAAAGGACCTCCAGGGTTCAATATTTCAAAAACACAGATAAATAGATTACTACAGATAAATAGCTTTATGCTTCAGGTAAAACTACCAGAAGCATCTGAGAAATTTCCAGGGGGTCTGTAGAAGGGGATGTGTAACCAGTACACCCGATTTCCTATGCTCCTGGAAAGCAATGCCCAGGGATTGAGCAACTGGAGGGGAAACATGGACCTATTCAAATTTCCTCCAGACCAGCCATTCTTGGCCCTTAGCATGTGGCTGTTATTTGGGAGGTGGGTGGAGGGAAGGGTGGTGAAGGAATGGGAAGGAATGGGAAGTTATCCACAATTTTTGCTAGAGGCCACCTACAGCACACTCCGGAGGTAAGAGGCTTCTAGGTGGGAACTGCACCCATCAAGTTCTTGCTAATTATTAATTGGACCCTCATTTCAGAAAGCAATGTTGTTTTTACAAGTTGGATTTGACTTTAAAAAACAAAACACAAAAATACCAAACAGGAGTAGAAAATGTTATGTTAAAAAAAGTTTCCCCAAAACAATCAGTAGCACGTCGCATCTGTAAAGGGTCCCAGCTCCCTGTGATGGTTGTCTCTGACTGTTGTTTCTCTCCAAGGTCATAGAGAAGGTGTTACACGCCGATCTTCATGTCCACATTTTGCAGGTTCCGCGTCTCGTCAGCTGTCATAAATTGGTCTGCGGTGTCTGCCGGCTCCTTGTTCACCAAGTGCACCATCTCCTGAGACTTGCTGGCCTCTCCGTTGAGTCCACTTGGCTTTCTATCATCCACAGCTCCATTGCCACTGTTGATTACCAGCTTTTTCTTCTGCCCACACCTGAAGTTGAGAAAGGAGTGCAAAGAGCCATTATTGGTCATTTTGCCACCAGCACCAGCACCAGCACCATCCTCATCACTAGGGCTGATCATGGTCTTGGTAGGTTTCATAATTCTTACTTCTAACAGTGTCAGTGCTTATCAACAGCAAGATCATCACTGATAACCTTGTTAGAATGCAGAAGCTCAGCCCCAATGCAGAAGTACTGAATAAGAGAACTCTAGAAGTGGCTGCCAGGATCTTTGAAAACAATTTTTAAGCATTTAAGAAGTTTCTGAGGACTTGGATGACCCATCACCATGATGACTGTAAATCCTTCTGATGAATGCATTTAAGAAAGTCCCATTACTTCCTCTCCCAGGCAACACTTTACTGGCCTGGTGGAATTATGACTGCATGTGCTGGGAAGAATAAAACATTTTTCTAGAAGTACAAGCCATATTGGTTTTTCCTTAATATGGGTTAACTTCCATTTAACCCTGGATAGAGGAAGTTTAACTAAGATACATCCAAATCTTACATGCTATTTTAAGATACCCTAGTAACATAATGTAAGGTTCAAATGCAGATCTTTCTACTCTTCCATGGAAGAACATGACCTTGACCTAGTCCCAAGAACATGACCTTGACCTAGTCCCTGGGTTACAATGTTCGATAGCATTGCCTCTCTCCACTCAACCTAACACAATCTTCTTCCTTCCTGTAACACTATCACTGCTACACATCTAGAAGTCAGATTACACTTGATGTAAGCGAAGGTGCCGAGTCTCTCAGCCATGAACAGGGTGGGAAAGAGAAATGGGCTGAAATTTAGTAAATGCCACCCCCTGCCCCCGCCATGCTAAGCACTTTACATGCTAATTTAGCAATGCTTATTATAATAATTATTACAACCAATGCTTATAATAATGCCTTAAAGCAGCTGTTATTCACAGCTGATACAGCAGAGGTAGTGAGATCCACAAAGAATAAATGACTTGCTTGAAAAAGGACAGTCAAGACACACTGAGTCAATATTCAAATCTAGACCTTTATGGCCAAACGCCTGAACTCTGCCCAGCCTACTACTGCTACAGATGCTGCTAGTCATCTGGAGATCTGGAAACAGCTTGAAGTGGGAATTGTTCACTTTGCCGCTGGGTATTTGGAGGTGTAGAGACAAAGCCTCTATTATTCATGACCATGGGCCATTTCCTCTATGACTGCCAAGGCCATAAACTTTAATCTCTTGTTTGGGGAAATAAAAATTAAACCTCCCCAACAGGAGGTAGATCCTGTCTCCTCTTGCCTGATGCTTGATGCAGGCTGGAGAGAAGGATGCTTGAATTATGCAGCAGATCACGGGATGGGGGTCTGGGTGCATTCCACACAGACATAAGCAGGAGCTCAGAGGGTTTGGTTTGGAGGGCTTACTGCTGTGTGATCTGGGGCAACTCCCTTAACCTCTCTGAGCCTTAGGTTTTCATCTGTAACAACAGTTCATACAAGTGCCAACTTCACAGGCTATGGAAAACCCTTGAAAAAGAGCCTGGCACTGGATACATGAGTCTATAGTTGTTATTATTTGTTTCTCTTACAACTAGGATGAGGAAACCAAGGACTTGGTTAAGCCATAACCCAGTATCTGGAACAAAGGAAATGTAATTATTCTAACACAAACCATGTGCAAAGAGTTTTACTTGTTTCTTCTAGTTGCCACCCCCCTACCTTGTTATAGCTACTATGGAGAGAACTTAAGAAGCCAAAAGCAGAATGTTCTTTGTATTATTTCAGGTGCTCCGATGGTATCTCAGATAGTCTTTGGAGCCTAGGTGTCACAGAAAAGTAATTCCCATCTCATGGGTGCTTGAGAAGTAGAATGAACTTCCACAGGAAAATGATTTATAAGCATTTGAAAATATTTGCACCTGGGTGTGGGGCTGGGGACTAATGTGATCATCTAAAGGAAGATGTTTTGGAAAGTGGGTAACATTTGACCAGGAATACAGTGCTTGGATTCTGTTGGAGCTCCATCTCCCTCTGGAGTTAGGAATCTTGATGATCTGTCTTGAGTTCTTCCAGGAGGAGAGGATGACTGTCATGAATAATTCAGCCCAACATTTGGTGCTCTAGGATCTTACTAAGTGCCATTAAAAGATATGTTCTAATTTCTTCATTCTTCCTAATTACAAGAACTTTAAAAGGAACTGAAAGGATTTCAGAGATCATCCCACCTGATTTTAAGTATAGCTCAAATACCAAGCCCAGGAAGTCAAGGGTATTCTCTGGAGCTATAGGACTAGTTATTGAAGGACCTACATAAGATCTACACTTAGATTTGCTGAGTCCAAAGATCAGAAAGCTGTAGCTTCCCTCATTTTTGCTTCCCTTAAATCTCAGGCATTGGCTAAGCACATCGTGAATTCCCAAGAGAGGGTAGGCTGGCTGAGGTTTAGAAAGCAAGCAACTAACATGTATTGTGGGCATGGAAGAATTTATTTTGAAAGATTTTGGGGCGGGGGTGCGTAACTTAGTGACTAAGCTTCTATCTCTTCTACCTGACAATCCTGAACATTATTTGGGGATTTATTTTGCATTGTGTAGAGTGATACCATGCAAAAGGGAACAGCAGACAGCTATTTAAATTTAACCTAATAAAATGAAATAAATTAAAAAATTCACTTCATAAATCAAACCAACCACGTTTGGGGTGTTCAGATGGCACAAAAAGTTAGTGGTTATGTATGAACAAAGCAGGTGGAGAATATTTCCACTGGAAAGCTCTGTTTCTAGAAGGCCAAATGATGTCTGCATGAAATAAGTACAAAGTACAGTTAGCTGGTCTATAGCAGAAGAGAAGGAATCCATATCTAAATCCTGGGGCTTCATAAAAGGACCCGCCAAGCAGAGGGTGATGACTGTGCACTGGGCTTGCAGTGACAGCTTGGAAAGACATTCTCTTCACAAGCAGCATGGAACATTCTTCAATCATTCCTTCTGGTAAAATCTTCTCTGGCAAGGTTGTCAGGATTTTTTCTCTTCTTCATATAAGTCAGTAGATTATTTAAGGAACAAGTACCCGACTTCTTTTCCTGGATCTCATCTAATGTCTGCCAATCCTACTGTGAACCCTAAAATTATTGTTTGCTCTTAGGGAAAGTGTCTCAAGTGTGATTTCCAGTGGAAATCAAGGACTCTGGTTAGCAAGGAAAGGTGTTGCAAGAAAAGGTGTTGCAAGTTATGACAGATCTGGGAAAAGCTAAAGAAATCACAGAACTTCTAAGTCAACATCTGGAAGATGTTCACTTCATGATGGAAGACCCTGGTCAGCCCTTGGACCTATTTGCACAACTAGTACATTTCCACTTCAATTTCTCAACCAGAACCCATATAACAGAGTGCAGCCCAGAGTATGTTCTTAATAGTTCTTAGCTGACACAAATCCAGCATGTCAATTATGCCACTGAACCTCAGGATCCATCCAAGAAAAGACAGCCCCCTTTCCATTTTCAACGTTCCTTTCTTCCTTGCCACTGCTTATGGTCAGTGGAACAACTCAAAAAAAACGTTTCCTAAATAATTGTAGGTTCCTTCAAGGATCTCTAGAGAGATCCTTTTGAATCTCTCTAGAATTCAACACTCAAAGCAGAAAGGCTCCAGCCTCTTAAGAGGATTAGGAATGGGCTGGAAGTTTGAGTGAAACAGGGCACATGAAGAGGCTTGTGCGGTTAACCACCCTTGAGCTATATGGCAAATCTGTTTTTGATTCTCAAATCAGGACACATCAATTTATAGTGTCCAAGCCACCAGATATTCTTGCTTTGCTGATCCTGAGCGGCCCCATTTTCCTGTTGCTAGGGTAACTGCTGGTGGTGGAGTGAGGTGGGGCAGCCAGGGGCCCTCTTGCTGCAGGCATGATGCAGAATGATGAGTGAGCTAACCAGCTCTGTCGACATTCAAACTGCCCTCAGAGACAGACAGCTGCGATGCTTCTCTGAGGGGCTGTCACCAGCATCACTGGCCAACGTTTCTATGGTGACATGTGCAAAGCTTATGGCGTGTGTATCTGAGCAGAAGGAGTGCACGCTAGAGCCTGGAACAAAGGGACTAATTTCAAACAACAGGAAATTCATAGTTAATTGAGCCCAAATAATCCAAGAGAAAAAGGAAGCTGAGGGAAAGTATAAAGGCTTTGTATAAAGGCTTTGTAAGTACTCCCTCAAGTCACATTATTTAAATTCACAAATTCACTCCTAGAAAACTTATTTTCCCACTTAGTCACAGGAGCCTTCTAGGAGGTCTTCCAGAATTTCTTTTCTAGTTTTCACACCTTACATTACTGACTGTCATGACTAATCTTTTTTTTTTTAATGCCCTCAAAGATATAGATAGCAACAGCTATCTGCTGTAATATGGTAGTTTTAGTGCCAGTGGAAAGCAGCATTTTCAATTTCCTCAGATAATTAAAGAATTAGAGATACTGCATGGATTGCACAAGGCGAGGGAATTAGCTGTCTGTTGCTTGCCAAAAGCCAACAAGAAAGATTTTTGTGTTTTCTCTCAAACTGAGGAGCATTTTCTGGCCTATCAGATGATCTAGTGAAACAATAATGGTGGCTCTGCTTGGAAATACAATGCTTTTTACCTCAGAGTAAGAGATCTGATGGAGCTTTTAAAAAAGGCTTAATGTCCCAAATCATACACGTAGAGAAGAAGAATGAAACTTTAAAGTGACTTGAATAGGAAAATTAGGCTTATAGTTTTGCAGTGTCTTGATTAACATTCATTTCCTCTGTTGCTACAATTACCGTTTCCTTCATTTTACTTTAAATTGCATTATTTCTGGAGTCTGGTCGCTGCTTTACCAGGTACACATGCCATTTAAATAACTTCCAGAACAATAGGCTTGGTTGAGGCTGGGAGCTTTTCCTTTTTTTTAACTGAAGCTTCCAGACAATAAAAAAATAGTGTCATTACAAAAAACAAACAGCACATGAACTTACAAAGCTGCTATAGGAAGGTTTCTAGAATATTCCATAGGCTTCAGTCAGACTAAAGTGGATGACCAATTCCTGAGTCTTTATATACTTTTTGTGCATCGTGAATACTTTTCATAAATACTTGTTTGAAGAATCAGTAATATATACTTTTATGTCTTCCTGGTGAGATATGTCATAACTGATCAGAGGCTCCATGGATTTACCTCCCCATCTAATTAAAACCTACAAAATTTCAACTATTTAATTTTATTGGCCCAAATCATCACTGTGTCTCCTTCTCTAAAGACTATTCCAAAGCAAATCTTGTCAAATTGCACCTTGCACATGAATTCCTGAAATCTTGTCAAAACCCCAGCTCTGACAGTGGCAGTCTGGGGCAGGGCTTAACAGTCTGCATTTGTAATAAGCTCCTAGTACAGAGGCTGATGGTTCCAGTGGACACAAGGACAGAGAATCTGAGAGTCAGGGATGGTCAACCTTTCAGAATCAAAGGCCCAGAATATCCCCTTACCTCCTTCGACTGTTGACAGCGATGCAAACTGCAAGGATCAAAGCCAGGGCCAACAGGGATGCCAAGATGATCAGCCATTCTAGTGGGAGTGAACCAAAAGGCATGTGTGAGCTTGGGAAATATGCTCAATAAAAACAAAAATGCACTTATTAATTGACTTAATCCAAACAAGAACCAGTCAGCACTTCGGATGTGTCCAGCCCACAGGCAGTTAATGCTGGATGGGCGACTTTGCTATAGGTGTTTGTCCAACGGGCCTCTTGTTTTAATCTCTTATCATCAGTCAGGATTTCCAAGCCCCCTCACCCCAGGAGAAACAAATCCAAATCCAAAAAAGTATAGAATGATCTGTTGGAACTTGTAGATGCATTTGGTGCAATATGATGAAATAGACAGAAGGAAATTTATGTTTCCCTTGAAAAGAACATTCCTTTCCTATGTGAGAGCATCCATTTTACATTGTAATAGTCAACACAAATGGAGACTGCATACTAGTGAGTGGGACAAAGGATACTCCCATGGAGGGATACTTCCATGCACGTCCACTAGCGGGGTCATTTGAAAATTTGCCAAAAGCCTTCAAAATGTGCATGCAGTTATACTTCAAGATCTCAGAATTAGCCCAGTGATATTCGTAACTGTATTATTTACAATTGTAAAAGTTGGGGAAAACCTAATATCCAAGAGTAAGGGATTGGATGGAAGAATTGGGAAATAACCATCATACTATGTACTACAATGCAGGGGACAAATATTTAGCAGCATTGCATGGTGTGGCCAACCAGCTTGGCATATAGCTTACTAAACAGAATCTAGCCGATAATTTCTTTCTTTCCTTTTTTTTTTTTTTTTGTCTATAAGGTACATTTTAGAAGTTATAGGTAGTATGTTTCTCATGTCCTTTCACCATGAAAATGGTGACCTTGGTATTTCTGGATGGTAAGGTAGATGAAAATACAATCTGAGGTTTCTTCTGTCAAGGTCTGTAAGAGTTCTTGCTCGAGATAATGTTGTTTGGGGACTAGAAGAATGTTTTACTTCACCCAATACATATGATCTGCTCACTGCGTTGTGAAAGGATATTATACACAATACCTCCACCCCCAAAAGAAAGGTTACTGGAAGAGGAAGCAGCTGGGTATGGTGTATAGTGTGGAGTTTCCTGGGTTATTAATCATTTGGGAAGAAGAAGCTGTAGTAGCTGGCAAGACACTTCTAGGGGACAGGCCAGGGATAGGTTTCAATTTGAACTTAACCAATCAAAAAGCCTAGGGCAAAAGAATAACCCATCCTTTCTTAGCAAGAGGCCAAGTGCTCTCTTCATTCTTTACTTACCAAAAGGAGCAATCAGATCCAAGAGTTGGGCATTCAGGAGAATTAGTCTCTTCTTTGTTTCTGGAACTTTCAGAAAAACCTGCCTTTACCTTTTTTTTTTCTTTTTTCATCACCTGGCGAGCAACTCACCTGGAATTTGAGGCCTCCTCATAGGACCAGAGGTTGTGTTTGGCATACCATCTTGACCCTCACTGGAGTGTCCTAAGGGGACAAACAACATATCAAAGTCTAGAACACATGGAGTTGCTTGTAGAGCACAGGGACAACGTCTACCTTTGGATCACTGAGAACCTGTTTATAGATTTAAGCTAGAGACCTTTATAACATGTTACATGAAAGATATGACATTTGAAAATCTTCCTACTGAAATGAATTTTTTTCTCCAATGAAATGGGAACCCAGTGCAGAGCACTGAAGGTCTCCCACAGAAGAAAAAACATAAAGAAAAGAATACTGTCTGGCGAATCAGAGGATAGACTGCCAAGCCTTAAATGAAAAGCTTTCCTCCAAGAATCAGCCTTCAGCCTGGGCGCTGAAGTCTTGCTTACAGTGATACTTTTGGAAAGGATAGTTCCTGTTTAAGCAATTTGATGTTTGCTCTTAAAATGAAGCAAAGTAAAAATTTTAAAATTCTTTCTTTTTTTTAAAGATTTATTTATTTATGCATACAGAAATGGGGTACAGGCCAGAGGTGCAGGGGTGGTGAGAGGATTCATCAGAGACAGAGTGGGGAGCAGAACACTGCTGAGGGGAGTGGTGGGTGGTCAAGAGTCTGCCGAGCAATGTGGGTCACCTCTGGGGTAGGGATAAAACTCATGCTGAAGTGGCTTTAGCTTCTTAGTGCTGTGCTTTAACCCTCTGTGCCACCAGGGAGGGCCCACAAAGTAAATTCTTACCAGATGTTTGGCTGTTTAGCTTACTCCACCTCATTTTGACAGTGATCTTTCACTTCAGAAACCTCACAAAGAATCCCCAGTCCTTTCTCTGCCTCCCCAAATCGCTGGTCATTAACAGGTTTTCACCTGTACCAGTTATGGGCTATTGGCCATTTAAACTGGAGATCTTTGGCCTTAAAAACCACGTAAGAGGTACAGTCACTCTCACTGGTCTTCTCTGACTCACAGCTGCCTTTGATATTTGAAAGGAAGACCATTAATGGATCTTAATCTCTTTATTTTGATTTTCATAAAAAGCGCTTCCAGCAAGGAATGATCTGGGTGTGTACACAGCAAGATGAAACCTCCTGTTGGTACAATAGACACCTGCATGGAAGTCAAACAAAAGAGACCACTCCCGCCCACCTGATTCTCACTTTAAGCAAAAAATACCAAAGAGGGTGGACGAGATGCAGCAGGTCTCACCTTGCACCCTGGAGTCCTGCAAGTCCAGCCAGGGCTGGACTGGCCAGGAGAGCAAGTTCTGCAGCGAAGTCTACTTGACGCTCCAGCTGGGAGATGAGAACCAACCAGAGATGGGTGCATGGAGATAATTCCCCCACTGGGGGGTGGGGGGTCGGGGGGACTGCCTAGGAGAGTCCTTCTTGAACTCCAATGAAACCACCTAGTGGGTGGGGGGAAGTCTGGTGAAAATGCAGATGTTGAGTCAGTAGGTTCGGGGTGGCTGGGGATTCTGCATTTCTAACCAGCAAGCAGATGGTGTGGCTGCTGCTTGGCTCAAGGCCCATCCTTGGAGGACTTGGGTTTCTTGCTGTAGCAAGCGTGCCTTTTAATAGCAACTCCCTTTCATTTCCTCGCTTAGTCCTGATACCTCCTTTTCTCCCTAAGAACCCCAAGAGGTAGCTGAGAGGGAGGTGTCTGGTCTCCATTTTACTAATAAGGAAAGGTTAAAGCACCTACTCAAAGCACCCAGATTGCCTGGGACTTCTGCCTTTACTTTGCAGACCTTTCGAATAAGTTGCTGCTGCCATGCTCTTTCATAAAAGGCTATCAATGCAGCCACTGCATAAACAGCCGTGTTCACATTTGCTCTGTGTGTGATGCTAGCCTGACATAGGTCTGGTGGGAGAGGACACCAGGTCACATGCACAACCTGGTTTGCAGGAGCCCCCTGCACTGGGGATGCTGGGAGATGACCGTGAGATAGCCTGGCAGAACCTTGAAGTAACCCCATGTTAGTGGTCACAGGTAAGCCTGCCTGGTCAAAATGTTGCCACTGGGAGCAATGTTCTGGGTGTGATCTGAGTCACGGTAAACAGGAATCACTTTAATGAAATGCCTTGTAGCAGTTATGGTCGATTTGAAATGCATTCTCCAACCACACTTCTCAGAGGCCTTGTGAGACCCTATCTCGCTACCCACCCTGCCAGTCAGGCCACTGCAGCCAGTTTCTGACATCTGAGTCCTCATCTGTAAAATGGGAATAATAACAACACTTGGGGAGGTTACAGGATTTGTAGGATGATCAAAAATTAGTTAATAACTGGGCCCCCATGATGGCCTAGGGGTTAACTCTCAGCACTATTACTCCTAAGGCTTGAGTGCGATCCTGGGCCAGGCAGTTTACCCACATAGGGTATGGCAGACCTCTCTTCTCTCTCCTGCTGCTCCGCTCAGCAGTGTATTTCAGCTAATCCCCGTGTTCTGCTCCCCATTCTGTCTGTGGTGAATCCTTTAACCCCCTGCACCTCTGGCCTGTACCCAAGTTCTTCTGCATACACAAACAAAAATTAGTTAATAATAGATGAACTATTGGCAACTGTTGATGTTGTAGAACCTACAAAAACATCAGTTTTACATGGTCTAACCTAATACACAAAAGAGTTTAGAATAAAGCCATAGGCCCACAATACTTTCTCAGTAAATGTTATCTATTATGTAATGTGCTTGGGGTTATGTCTTTAAAACAATGCTGTGACGATGATCATTATCCCAATTTTATTGGTCAGAAAATTGAGTCACAGCTCTTTTAAGCGACTTCCCCAGTTAGTATGTGATTAAATCCAGGCTGTTCTTACTCTAAAATCCATGTTCTTAATCACTCTAGTGGAGTACAATGTCAAATTGAGACTCTGCTTGAATTCTTCCTGATCCTTTCAGAGAGAAGAATTTTCTCCAAAACAAGAGTTTTTAGAATGCAGCATCACAGGGAATATATAAGAAATGCAAAATCACAAGCCCACTCCAGTCAGATCTACTGAGTGAGAAGCATTAAGGATGGGGCCCAGCAGTGTGATTTAAAGCCCTCTTGTTGTCTGTGATGCACGCTAAGTTTGACACTTCAGAAGACTTTGATTCATTCTTCATTAATAATCAGCAGGAGTGGTGATAACAATAAATATCTCCAGCAGCTCTAACTCACCAGCTGACTCTGATCCATGGGTGGTATGGGATTCCCCACTGGGGTGAAAGGCTGAGTCGTGGTTTCCTGTAAGGAGATATCAGGACAGGTTCAGTGCTACATATTCTAGTGTTTTCTCATGTTTGCATTTTCAGCTTTTAAAAGTAATCAAAAATGATGCGCATGAAGCCTTGAGTGGATCCACAGCATTAGTTACTGCTCATTAATCCACTGATAGTGGGCTAGATCTTTAATTCAAATTAGGAAGCTGGAACAGCACACACCAGGAGGATGACCAGGTGAAGTGTGGCTTTGGTGGAAATCCAGTAAGTGTACCACTATAATAAAAATGTTACAAAGTCTTTACAAGTCTGAGGGTGGGACTGGGACTCTGTCTTTGTCATAATGAATATATGACTTGGGTTACGGCACATGTGATCATTGGGAATAGGTATATTCTGTGGCTTAGAGCATGGAATATTTAAAGAGATCTTTCCAAGGAAGAATAATAGAAAATGTTTTGATGTGCCATAAAGCTTGGGGTTGCGTTATGTAAAGGCTTAAAGAGTCAACTGATTATTTAGAAAAAAGAATGAAAAAGAAATGCATAGATAACAACTAATGTGTGAGTAATATACCTAGTTATTATAATACAATTCAAATGTTTTCAAATTTTGAATCAGTATTTTCAACACCAAAAATTAATATAAACCCGTCTTCTCAAAAACCTGTTACTGGATGCTTTAGATTTTAGACACACTCTTGAATTGTAAAAATCTTGATTCTCTGGTCAAGTCTTGCATTAAACGCAATAGAAACTCTACTCTTCTCCCTCCTCCCCCACATATTCCAAAACCACATATGAATCTTCGGAAAAAAAAAATCATCAGACAATAGTTTCATAAATGGTCATATCACCCATAAGGAACCTATAAAAAAAAACATATAATCTGATCACCTGGATCTCCTTTGATTGGAGAAGATCGAGGTAGGTGACCTGTAATCTCTCATGTCATTGCATAGAGAGATCCTCGCTTTGATCCTTGGTTTATGGTTAGAATAACTGAAAATAGCACTTGTCAGGCAAAAAAACACCAATACCATCACCACCACCACCACCACTGCCACCATCACCAAACCATCATCACAATTTCAAATGTTTTGGTTTTAACATTAAGCATAAAGACTGGGGAAAATGTGTGGGAGGAAATGAACTTTAGCTGAGTATTTTGGAAGAAAATCAAGGATGAGAGGGGGTTGACTTTGACAATCACTTAATCCATGAGAAACTATGGGAAATCTATCTGTACGCTATGGAATGTAGAAGGAATCAGAGTATGTGACTATGAACTTGGCAGAAAGTATTTTCATTACTAACAGGCTCAATAATCTAGGAGACTGAAATTATTAAAATTGCCGTTTACATTGAGGTACATTAAATTGCACCACAGTTCTTACTCTAAGACTCATTTCTCCAGAAGAATAAAGATAATGCTATCTGGAATTTTTAGAAATTGAGGGCAGAACCATACTAAATAAAGACACCACTGGTGTGAGAGTCTCTGTCTCACCAATATGGCCATGGTTAACATGATCTAAAGTGGACTTTCCTTGACGCACAAGGGCTGGGCATCCTAGATACTGAAGCCAAGCATGTGCCATCAGGGTTTTCCCACTCTGATCCTCCAGAGTGTCATGGCCGTGCTGTTTTGAATATAGGGTTCACAGAAGATTCCCACCCCCCCCCCTTTTTGGGGAGGGGATTAGATAGTCCCTGTTATTACATGTATATTTATGTACCTGAAATCATTAATCTTTTGTATGCCTCAGTGGCTGAGTAATAAGAAGCACTTGAATAATAAACACTAGGAGGGGAAAATCAAATTTTAGTTTCTTAGGCAGAGAGGGTATTTTTACAGTTCCCTTTTCTTCAAAGCATGTTTCTCAATGCAAAAGAAGAACAAAGAAAAACAGAAGTAGAGAATAGTGCTGCTTTGAGGCAGTCCCATTCTCATTCTAGGTCCACACCAAGCTTAATTAAGTCATGCTCAGTCATCTGCTAGATATTATAAGAGAAATGATGTGTGAGCATGATAATAAATGAACACATAGCTTGAAATGTACAGCACAAGAAGAGGAGGTTTTATCCACAAGTCCTTCACCAAGAGCGAAATTCACCAATCCATCACCAATAAAAGATAATAATTCCAGAGCACAGATCTTAGTCTATGGAAATTATTCACATGCCGGATAAGAGCTTACTGAAAAGGCACATATATTAGTTGAATCAAATGAAATTGCGACATTTAACTATTTTGACCTACAAAAATAATGATGTCATGTGGTTCAACTTAATATATCACAAGATCAGGAGCAAGACAAAGAAAGAAATTTTACCATAACAACCAAGTTACAAAAATAAATGGAAATGACAATGGGACGCGAAAAAAATGTTATCTAAAATAGATCTAGTTTACTTAAACTAGAACAAACACCAGTGATAAAAGACATTCCTATGTGATAAATCAAATTATAATCTATGCAGAAAACTCCCTCTGAATATCAAAATATGTGTTTTTTTCTCTCAATGGCGAAAGCAAATCAGATAACAAATGACCAAATTACCTGATAAGGAACGATCAACATTAAAGTTGGAATCTCCAACAACAGTAACTTCAGTAACTCCAGGGGATCCAGTATTAAGAGGGGTTACTGGGGTGTGGGTCCTGATATCCTTTGTGTCTGAGGACTGAGAAGTGTAACCTTCCACTGAAGTAGCTGAGTCTTCAGAATGACTTCCAACATTTCTTTCAACTGTGTCATCATTTCTATCTGCAGAAGTGCAGTCATGGTAAACCCATGTTTATAAGACCACAACCAATCACGTGCTTCTCTTCAGAACAGGCACTTGCTAGAAGAGCTTTCCATGTATTAGGTATGAACACGGAGCAAAAGAGTGAAATTTGTTACACTACTTAACAGAATCAATTTTATAATTGACACTTCGTGGATATTACTCAACAGTAGAAATGTTGGCAATCCTGGTAACCAGAAGATGAACTTGCTGGCCATCTATATGCGTGATTAAAGCAAGATTGATTGCCACTACAATCATGACCTTGAAGTCAACTCAGGTACTAGATAATTTTGAGCTCTTACTCAATGGGATCCACCTTTAATGCAGTGGAGGAAGTGAATCACTTAATTAAATTATGCTGCCTACAAGTGGAATAGAAAATGAACGTTTTTAAAGACCTGAGACTTTCATTTTGTCAGAAGGGCATTGCTTGGTCACTAGCACCATGGATTTATAGTCCAGAGGCTAAAAGGTAAAATATCATTAATGCAAGGAATCGAGAGTGATACCTTGATAGTCCAAATCATTATGTCAATTATAAATTAGATATAGGTGATCTGTTATTTTTTAATCAAGCCACTAACCATTTAAGAAAGCCAACCCTTCAGAAATGAAGTTTACTCTTAATGTACAATGATTTCAACGAGGCCTCCAGAGCAGAAAAATCAGAGAACCATCACCAGTCACAATTTATAATCAAAGTAATAATAGAATAGCACCATCACCAAAGCAGAAACACCATTTATTTATTTATTTATTTATTAATAGCTGAAACCAATTAGGTGTTATAATCCTTACTGCTAGATGTTGGAGTAGAAGTCATTGGATGGTCATTATCTTCTTCCAAGTCTCCTTGTGATGTTGAGAAACTCTGCATATGACTCTGTTCTGTTTCAATGAGGGATGAAGTCAGCATTAAGTCATAAAGCAAATCCTATTACCTGTCAACAGGAAGGATCTAGCTATGGTAATGTCAAATTGATCGATGCATAGGAATACCAAGGTTTATGCATGCCGTTCTTTGTCTGGTTGACAGAAATGTACAACAGATTATCTGGTTTTTGTTTATTTGGTTCCCCCAAACCATTTGCTTTTTAGAATAATCAATGAAGGTAAAATGCCATGGCAAAGCATGAGTTGAAAGTGTGTATTCTGGATCATCCTAGCCCAACCCTATCACTGTTTCCAATCACTCAGGAAAATTGGAGAACACAGAGGAATGGAAAAAAGAATGCTTGAATTCTAATGTGTCTACCAACAATCAAGAGCCCCTCTACTAAGGGCCAAGAAGTGTGACTGTAGAGAAAACAAACCCATGGCAGCTTGCAATCACAACAAGGAAGAAGTTGACTGGAATCACCTGCTCAAGTAATGCCTAGCAGAAGTATAAAAGAAAATACTAAAGTAAATTCTAAGTAAAAAGTGCCTTTTTACTCTATTATCAGGATTTCTACCTTATCTGTGGGTGGGATTCTCATCACTGCACTGAAATGCCAGGAAACGCTTGCCTGGACAAACATAAGGCTCCAATTGACACATCAATTTAATGTTGAACTGTTGCCTGTATCTGAAATCATGTTGACTGTTTTGAGTTAATTTCTTTTGTATTCTTTTAAGAAATGCACTGACCTGTGAGTCACAGTTATACACTCTCCATTAAATTCACCCTTAAGCCATGTCCACCACCAAAAAAACATTATATCCAGGAGAGAGACATCCACCAAACCCCACACCCATGCCAGAACAACAGTCAACAGAGCCATACATGGAAATACAAGACCCTCCACTGACAGAAATGATTCTTATGCTTAACTGCATCTCCTTTGGTGCTTAACATTGTGTTGTTTATATTGTGGATAATAAGCACATGCTTGCTTGTTTTTCCTTTGGCCTAAAATGACTCACAGGAGGGACTCTGTCTATTAGGTACAGTGGGCAGAGAAATGAAGTCCTCTTAATTCTGGTTTTCTTTCACATTCTGTCAAGGAAACTATGAATAACTTTAGGCTAATCTCTGGATAACCCTGTATATGGTATGGAATTTAAAGCTCCTAGAAGTTTAGCATTGCTTCTACCAGATCTTCAGTAAGAGGAAGAGATATTAGCAAAAGTTGCTTTTTTTTTCCTGGACCTACACCCTGTCTCCTTTGTCAATTGTCAAAAACAATGTCTTCTGTTCTTCTGTAGGTTTATGTGATTTTTTCTATTATCTATGATTATCTGGTCCAAAGATTATCTTTGACAACAATGAAAGCAATCCTATCTCTCTTGAGTGGAGGAAAGTTGTGAATCAAAGAAGGTGAGCAGTTAAAACAGAGAAATCATTGTCTTGGCCAGGGTCTTGTGTTTCACTGTCCTAACCTCTTAGTAAAGGAAAATAAAGTTAAATTGCATCCCACAATCTAGCTGATTATTTTCTTATCATAAATTCACTGAATCTGGAAAGCACCGAGAGTAAAGGTAAAATCAGATTTAAAGAACCCCATCAAGAAAATATATATATAATGAGCCAGCTTGCATGCTCTGGGCTAAGCTGAGCCATAGCCATGGTACTGCTCTTCCACCACCAAGCTCTACATCTGAGCCACCGTGAGCAAGAGCTGAAGCAGGCATGCAGATTTATAATGGGCTGATTGTCATTGTCCTTACGAGTTGTAATTGAAAAAGGGCCTGTCCTGCCCAAGTCGTCCACCAAACCTGTAGCTTGATCTTCAGAAGGTGGAAGTGTTGTGCTATCACTGGTACCCATATCTGAAGGAATTAAATCAGTGTTATTACTTGATTTGTTAAACTACTGCCTGAGTGTGGCCTATAGTCAACAGTCAAATTACTTTTATATCCAACCATGTACAAGTAAAAAGAAAGGACATATTAATTCATGTCTTTAGGATTAGAATATATGGCTGATCCTTCAAAGGAGCATCCCAAGAAATAACTGGCTTTCATTAAAGCTATGATCTTGTTTCTTTTTGCTGAGTCTAGAAAAACTCTAAATGAGCACATAGTAGCCTTTGCAAATTTTGCAGAGAGACAGGAACAACTCATGCATGACTTGTTCCATTCCAAATGTGTTGTCTTTCTTATGGACATACATGCAATCTGACATATGGAGGGAAGACCCAGTGTACTCTTTCAGGCAGCACTTTTTCACATCACCCTTACTTGGCAAAAAAAAAAAAAAAAAAAAACCTTTTATACAGCTCTCTTCCCTCATTTAGTCTTCTGTCATGTCACAAAATGAATGTGCAAATAAAACATGAACTATCATTCAGCAGGACTTAGAGGGAGGTTGCCAAGAGTATCCAAGGCAAGAAATAAGAAACAGTAGATGTCAGGGAATCTTTCTCCCCATAAACACATATAAACACATGCAACTGAATTACAATTTTGTATTACAATAAGTAGTACATAAACTTCCCTAAAATATTTATCAATGTTTCTAATAGCCATCACAATTAGATTCTGCTGAAATAACAAACCCTGTGTTAACTAGAGGGAAAAATATAAACACCATCACTATTGCTAGCCCTCTGTTCAAAGTTCACCCACTCTGCTGCCTCTGGAGAGATTCAGTCAGTTTCAGATGGCTCCAGGGGAAATTACTGGAATACTGGGCACCCACATCTATACTGTATTCCTTGCACACAAACAGAAAAGAGACTCAAAATGTTGTAGAACAAAACAGGGCTGACTTTCTTATTTCAATTTCATTTCCTTGCCACATTCATCAATTCAACAGATGCTCTTTTTATCTGTCAGGCTGGAAATATACTATTAATTTTAAGGAAATGAAGACATAAAACCTATTGGACTCATTTTGGATATGTCTTTGTTCAAATCAGTACTAGAGACATTGTCATTGTGCTCTTACATCTCATTTCAGTAGGATTTGTGCTGGAATTTGTAATCCAGATGATTATCTATCTGTCTATCTACCTACCTACCAACCTACCAGCCTACATACCACCTATCCATCTAATATCTATCTATCTATCTATCTATCTATCTATCTATCTATCTATCTATCTATCTATCTATCTATCTATCTATCTATCTATCTATGTATCTATCCTGATAAGGAAGAATTCCTTATGAATGGAAAAACTGGTCAAATAAAATCACAATTATCCAAACTTTTAGAACTACAATTAATATCTTTCCCTCTCTTCCTCTCATTTAATTCTGTTTTTGGATTGCTTATAAGGAATCCAAAAAGAAAACAGAATTTCATTCTTTGCAAACATTCATCTAGGACCAACATTGATCTAAATCTTAAACCATTGGGTATATTTATCTCTGAATGTGGCAAAAGTAAATAATGAAATTTTTTCTCCATGAGCACCTATTATTAATTTTTGTTCTCTAAGATTTCTCCACCAAAGTTTTTATTTTTTAGGCCTACAATAGTTACAACCACTATAATGTAAATAGTTACTGAAGATACCACTTTCCCTTGTAAAGTCCTCTACTTAAAAGTAGATGGAAAAAAAATGTTGAGATTTCTCTTTTAGAGAAAATGATTTCCACTTTAATCATTTAGGATTAGTTCTTCTCTATCCCTCCTGCCAAATTCTTCACTCTTGGCCTAGGACTTCATATTTATATGAATGTAAATATGACTCTAAGAAGGGTCTTCAGTTTTCATAGGAAAGTAAATTGGTCTAAAACCAAGGATGTATTTCTAAAAAATGGCTATTGGATAGCTTTCAAAAGCATAATATACATTTTAAAAAAGCTCAGAGGCTATTACCCATATTCCCTTGTGTTTGATGACCATGTCCCATTGGATGTGAGACTGAGTCGAAGAAATGAATCCAGGACGCGTCCTCTGGATTCTGCGTTGTCATTCTTTGATTTGGGTGGCTTTCATGGGCCGAGGTTGCTGTGATGATGCAGTTCAAGCAATTGTCAAAACATTAATCAACATTTGGCCAGGAATAGTTACTTATAAAAAAAAAATTATTCTCTAGAAAAGACAATGAAACTATCTCCTCTTGAAGGCCCAAAAATTGAGTAAATGCAGATTGGATTAGCAAACATGGATTCATCCATGCTTATTTTCTTGGCAACGTGTTTTTCAATGAGTAGACTGGAGGACATGAAAGCATTAGTGACTTGTCCAATGGATACAGGATGAATTATAGATGTCAAGTGAAGGTGAAGGAGAAGTAGTTTCTTGCCCAGCCTTTGCTGAGACATCCCCTAGAGGAGGGAAGTGTACAAGTCCAGGCACATGATGTCATTCTGAGATACCACATCCCAGTGAAATGCACATTAGCTGGTAATGATTTAGAGAAGTAATCAGGTAACGGCTTCCCAAGAGATAAATATGAAAGTAAACATCATTCACCTCAAAAGCAAGAATGGAATCCATTAGACACACTGCCTTCAGACAATAGCATTTATGGCATGGATACCATAGAAGAAGGCAGCGCATCCTACCACTTTATTCTGAATCAATGGAAAAGTATAGGTAGAAAAAATTATACTAGTCATCCCTTAGCAACAATTGTGCCAAATAACCAGTCACTGAATTCACTGCTCTTACAGGAATGTGTTCCGAGGCTGCCACACACTTAAAGGACAGCATGCACTATATTACAAACAGAAACATGGGAATATTTCTTTCTGGTGCTACATGAGAATATGAAACTTGCATTCATTTTCAAGTTAGGAAGCATTTTAATGTCTCTTTCACACAGAGAAAAGAATCATGCATAGGAACTCGCAGGGTCAAGTTATCTGACACCAACTAGAGAGGAGTCCAGTTTCCAGAATTCCACAATTCAAGAAAAAGGAGATGCCTTTCTTGTGAATCTAAAAAACATTCTGCATCCAAGAAGAAGCCACTAAGCAGCCATGATAAAAGGGCCAAATGACACCAGACAATTATTTTTCAAAGTGTTTGACTCCACTGGGGTTCTGACCAAATGCCTTCTAACACATTCTATTCATAGACAGCCTTGTGATATAAAGCTAGGGCCACATCATGAAGTCAATTACTTTACAAAACAAATGGAGTTTTTTAGATTAGAGCCTCTACCTCAATCTCCCTCGGTTATGCTCAAAATTAGATCTGAAAGTGACACACTTAAGGACTTAATTCTTTGAATTTCTTTCATGTGCTTTTATATACATTCTTGTTCAGGTGATTTGTTGGTCGCTGACTGCATCATAATCTCTTAAGGAACCTTAACATCTTATGACATTTCCCTCAATTTCTTTTATTCAGTTATCTCAATATTCAACGTTCAACCCAAAAGAAAGTTTCCGCCCAATTTTACTTGTTAACCCATCCATTACCGGGTGTCCCGGCTGTTGAGTGGGAATCTTCATTTGGTATCTGGGGATACTCCCCCTGCCATCCATTCCCAAACCACTGTTCTTTCTGGGTAGCCGTTTCTTCTGTTGTGATACTAGGAGTGGCTTGGGCTGTGAGAAGATGTGAATTGTGAGCTTTAATTGTGCAATTTCCTCACCAAACCATATATTTCCATTGTAAGGGCATTTACATGTAGAGAAAAGGTAAAAAAGGAAAGCATTGATTTTCTGAAAGGAACATTAGAAAGCAATTGATCCAACTCTTTCATTTTTTCAGAAGGGAAAATGGGGTCCCAAAGAAGTTTTGATTTGCTCAGATCATATAACCAGATTGGTACAGAAGTAGGACTAGATCAGGTCTGTGAATGTCCAGTACTATTTTTCTATAGTCTATGACCTCATCTATCCTGTGATTCAGCTCTTTGTTCCAGTAATTTATGGGAGAGGGGGCTATATTGTGTGACAATAGATGACAAGATGAGCACAGCAGAGACCTGCTCACATTGCCACATTCCACAGCCATGTGCCTGGAGATGTACCAGCGAGGAGTCTGTCCAGCGTGAGAGCTGTGGGTGGTGACAGGGACTCTCCTCCACGAATACAGTATGAGGTAACATGGATGTGGCATCTGAAATTGACAAAATTGGGCCTCCCTGGTGGCACAGGGGTAAATCTCAGTGCTGTTATCACACTATCACTGCTGTGGCCTGAGTTCGATCCCCAGCCAGGGAGATGACCCACACATGGCTCAGCAGACGTCTCCTGTCTTGCCTGCTGCTCCCCTCAGCAGTGTATTTCAGTCAATCTGCCTATCCTGCTCCTCACTCTGTCTCTGACAAACCCTTTCACCCCAGTTCGCATATGCATAAATAAATAAAAGAATAAAATTGACAACATTGTTTCAATAAAATTAATTCAGTAGAAGATAAACAATTCTAGCCAGTATTTGGCTTATATAAACAATACTAGTGTCCGTTTTAAAAAAGACAAAATGAACAGAATAAAAAAATCTATCAGGACACCTTTGGGTAAGATCATTACGTCTCCAACATTTTCATCTATAGCAACTAATAGCAACTTTAGTTGATCAAGAAATGAGTCGTTAAACTTGTCAAGGCAAAGTATATATTGCTTGCAGAATCGGTAATTCATTATTTTAGAAAATTGACAGTGTAATTTGATGATTTCAAGGATTTTTTTTTGGCAAGGATATTTTACAAATAAAACTTATTTTCTCCATTTTATCTTTGCCTTGGCAAAACATTCTTGAGGTTAACTGGTTAACTAGAAAGAGAAAAAAATCTAATCCTTAAATACTACCTCCCACTGACAAAATTGCTACCTCTTGACAAATAATGAAGTTAGAAGAACCATGAGGTATAATCACCAAAAAAGGAAAGTTAACCCAAACATAGACTATCTACTACAAGCTTCATAAAAAGGAAAACAAAAAGAAAAAAGAAACAGGTATGTGTGCATACATGTGAACACACACACTACTACATAGTTTTTCTGACACTATCTTCATGAGCACAATGGTCCTTAAACACTTAGTAACCCCTGTTGTTTTCAACATATAGGGTTAGCTGGGTTTGGAATGTTCGTTGTAAAATATGAAGGTCGATTTTCTTTTGCAAACTGATTTTCTCTAGATTAAGTGCAAAAGTCAATGAGAATCATTCTGTGTTTTGTAAATACTGACATGAGAATTGGCAGAGCTGTTTCTGCTTCCCTCCCTTAGGTTTTTTAAGTGTACTTTGTAATTCCTCTCCAGCACTGATGCTCCACACAGAACAACTTTTGACAACACGCTCATTTAACACCAATCCTCTCAAGTAGCTTTCATCCTTTTAAATATAAATTGTCTTCAATAATTTCTAAGCTGTACTATCAAGACCCAAAGGGAACTGTTACAGAATCCCATTCTCAACAGATTCTGCTTCTTATTTCCTTCTATCAGAAAACTCCTCTATTAACTCAGTCCATCACTTTCATGGTATACCAAACCTATTGCAGGAAGTAATGAGTGAATCCCTGTTGGACACATTCAGTATATCACTCTCAGGACTATTAACCCATGTCCTAGCTGATTCTGAAAACATCCCTCAACCAGGGATTCCCCAACTCTTTGGTTTCTCTGTTTGACGTGTGTGTGTGTGTGTTCTCTCGAGGAGCATCCAAGGCTGTGAGAATGATAGTTCAATCATACTTTACAAAATGCTACAAGCTATTACCCAAAATTAAAGCTTATTTTTTAAAATTCCAAACAAAATAAAGAAGAGTAAATATACTTCTTACTTTTTTATTCTATCCTCATAGTCCTGTAGTTGTTCCATAATTAGAAAACCGGAGGTGTTTCCATGTAAGTAGGGATAATAGCATCAATCTTCCCCCAGTTACCTCACAATTAAAGACTGATAACAAAGAGTCACAGAATTCAAATACAGACCATCTAAACTATGAACTTTCCCTCAAAAACCCTAATTATGCCTTTCCAAAATGTAGTGATGAACAGAAAGTGAGAAAGAAACTGGATTCTTCATAGGTCTTCATCAAAAGTATGGATTCCAAAGATCATTGTACTTGTCAAGTTTTCTTTTCAGATCCCACTGCTAACCACCCAAAGAAAACACTTTTCACACATCCATAAACACACTAATATCCCAAATAAAATCTTTAAGAATATTTGACATAAAACTCTATCTCAGATTTTTTAAAGCATTTTAACTTTTTCAACATTTTGTCCTTTGAGGCAATTTCTAAAAATTTGTGCACAGATTTCTGGCTGTTGTTTTATCATCTGGAGATAAAATAAAAATCACTGTAAGAGTATAGATGTGATCAGTGTCTAAGCAGTAGTCCCTATTGGCTGAGCTCATTTAGACTGGCACTGCCGACTCCATCCTTCTTACTTGTGCTTGTAGAATGGTGGGTCTCCTCTTCATCCTGATGCTCGTTGTGCATGAGAGGAGGGTGTGGTTCCTGGGTCCAGTTTTCCCCATAAGCATTGGTGCTACTTTTGTCCACATCTGTCATGATGATGGTTATATACACTATGACTTTTTTAGCAACTGACTCTTGATTTTTCTGTTTTTCCCTTAAAAGACAGGCTATTTAGTGGTCTTATGTTCTGGGCACTAATCTCCAAGTCAAACTGAATATCCTCATAAAAAGCGTACTAAGAATTTGTGATGAGACAGTAACTAAATTTCCCACAGTGTACTGATGATTGTCCTATTCAACAACAGATGTTGAGAAAAAAAATTGACAATTACATATGCATAACCCAGGCTCTCCCTTGTGAGACAATGGATTGGAGCACAGCCCTGCAAAGCCGGCCACAGCCACTTCCGTGTAAGTTCGATCCCTAACTCCGGAGGTGATCCACATGGCACAGCAGCCCTCTCCTGACCTGTCCACTGTTTCCCCTCAGCAGTGTATTTCAGTCACTCCTCCTGTTCTGTTCCCCACTCTGTCTCTCGTGAATCCCCTCACCCCTGGCACCTCTGGCCTGTACCCCAGTTCTGTAAGTACAAATAAATCTTTAAAAAAATATGCATAACCCATTACCATCCATGCTCGTGGTTGTCTGAGGTAATAGTTCTGGATCCACAGGGGCTGGTCTCCATAGAGTCCAGTCCATGTCCTCGCCTGGGCGTACAACAGCTGACGGTGTCGTTGAAACTGTGATAATGATGATCGAAGTGATAAGGAAAATGTTACTTCTTGAGCCTTCACCACTTGCTCTGCACATTTCCCCCTTCTGCAGTCTATCTGGTGAGTCATGCATACGAGCTTGGCTAGATGGTTGAGTGGAAATGGAGTGAAAGTAGAGAGAGGCTTCAGCTTCATTCCGCCATGCTCTTAAGCACCTCAGTGTCCTTTAAACTCTGTCATAGAGTAGTTGAAGTCGAACATGAGATCTTCGGGAGAAAACAGCCAAAGCCACTGCAGCAGGAGGAAGGACAGTTGGAAAGCACCAGCCCTCCACCAAGGATAACCAAAAATGCCAAAATTTTGCTCATCCATGCAGTTGTAAGGGACCTTTGCAGCAGAGAGCTCAAGCACTCCGGTTTCACTGGCATGAGCGCTACGCGTAGAACCGCAGGCTGCAGAGGCAGATATTGAAAATTATACCATGATGATTACTTTATGCTTTTAGTTGTTTAGGCAGAAAACACCCTAAACTTACCTAGCTTTCCTCTAGGTGAGTCTAAGGTAGAATCTCCTCACAGAATGGTTATATGATTTAGCTATACATTATGCAAATTTATATATGATATGGTATTCTTATCCAATATAAAGCATCTCACAAGCAAGCCATTCATAGCCAATGAAAGAAAAACAAGGTATATGCATTCAGTAGAAAAACACCATAGGTAACCAACCACCATCATAGCAGCTCACCGAAAAAAAAAGTGAAATACATTCACCAGCACCTTAATGTGGCCCCCAACAGAAGGATCATGATAAATTCAGAATCAATATTATTGGTGGAAAGATCATTTACAAATCCATCCTCATTCTTTCAACCTTTATCTTGATACCCAAATAATACAAAACTCTACTCAAAACTGTCCTCACAGCTCTATTTCACAGAAAAATCAAGATAAATTATGAAGCATATTCTCAGTGAACATAAAAAGGTGACAGTTATCTCCTTACAGAAGAAATAGACCACCCTACTGAATTATATGCAGCAGAAAAATGGACTAAGTTGGAAGGTGTTCGCAGAGATGAAAAATGCCAGTGGAAGTATTTTCCTGGAGTTTAGGCATATAAACTTATTTTCTGGATGATCTTTCATGAACTTCTTAAGCATTAAGGTCACAACCTGAGCCCACATCCTGAATCAAAGAGACAGTGTAATAGTAAAGCTCCAAGAGTTGGGTTGGTTGGTTGTCTCTGAAGTTATTAGAGAGACAACTTCTCTCTGAAGTTATTAGTGATGCAATTGATTAAGTGCTGCAGAGTTGCCCAGATAAAGGACTACACCCATTTAAAAACTGAGATATAATGCATCCTATTCATCTCAAGTATTTAATATATCAGTGTCATATGCTTTGATGACTCAAAGATGTGAGCAATATTTTGGACTCCTTTTCTCTGGGTGCTGCCCTTTGGGGGTGAAACTCTCAGGTTTTAATAGGACAAGCATAACTTTAGTAACCTGAGAGAGCTGTAAGGAAAGACACAATTATGATGGTGTGAATCTAAGAATTTTGTCTCTGTTTAGCATTATCTTAGGTCATTATAGGACTGTATGAGAAGCAGTCGTGAAAATAGACTATTATACCAATTTTTGCATTTCTGAGGGCATTTTTCAGCTCAATTTCAATCCTTATTCTCAAAAAGTTTTATAATTGTCACACTATTTTGCTATGTTATCAACATTTGTTTTAATAATTGGCAATTTTTTTTAAAGTTCAGCTGATGTTTGTCTTGCTTTTCAATATCTTTCTGTTATATTTCTGTCAACTTTGTTAAAATTCCAGATTAATTATTTTTTACCTCAGCCAGCTTATGATTAACTATGACAATTCTTGATTTCTGCTTTTCAATTTAAGCCTTTCTAAGCCTTCAATTTGGGATCATCTACAACTTTAATCAATAGCCTTCCAAGCATATTCTCCAACTCTATTGCTTCAACAGACCATGAGATCCTTGAAGGCAAGAATTCTGATTTTTTTTTTAATCTTTGTGTTTTCAACACCTAGTAGAGGAGGTAAACAATATTTACTGAAATGTTTAACTATGCCACCTCTGATAAGGCTAAACAATTAAAAGAGACTCCATATTAGTGGACCCCATTAAAAAAAAAAAAAAGACAGAAAGATCATGAGGCACTGGGAATTTTATAAAAGATATCTTTCCCATTTCACTTCCTTTCAAAAAATTCTATTTTTTTCCTTCACAATCTCATCAAGGAACAACTAAGGTATGATAAGTTCATGCTCATTTGTCAGATTAGCTATTTCCCTAGATAGACACCATTGAACATCACTCAGATTCAATGGTAACCTGGCATAAATGGAGCTACAGTAATTGGTTATTCTTACTGGTGCTGGAGATAAAATCTTCATCATCATCAATGCCTGATCCAGAATAAATGGGGTGTCTGTCTCTTTCATCTTCATTTTCTTCAGTTGGTGCCCAGCCTGCTGAGATGATATTTGAATCCGTACCTGTTGTGGTGACTCATGTTAGTGGCTGAACTAGATGTTGTGCAACCCATTTGACAAAGGAAGAAAGTCAGGCACAGAATCTAGAATGGAGTTCCCAAGATTGCAAGAATAAAGTGGAGAGATTTGGATTGTATGCCCCAAATTACTTTTTCCTGAACTTAATGTACAGATCTGAAAACAATTGCTTATGAACAATTGACTGTTCTCTTAGGAAGTTAAAAGAATACAGACATAACTCCATAAAAGGAAAGAGGCCAATGGGCATTCCCTCATCCTTCCAGAGACACTTATTATTAACCTATTAAGTATATGTCATTAAAAGTAAGATGGCAAGAATACAAAAGGTAGATTTCATATGTGTCTATTTCCTTTGTTAAATCATCTACACAAAAACATCAGAATCTAAACCCATGTTTATTATTTCTAAAATACCATATTATATTCACAACTTGCTAAATCATTTTTTATCTTCTCTAGGATCAAAATCACTGTAGCTTAAGGGCATATGAAAACTTCACTGCAGTTTCCAACAGTGGTTTAGCATACAGCAAAGACATTAATCAATTAAAAAAGAAAACTCACATCTAGCTTTTATTAACCAACCAAAGGGGTCACAAAGTGGATGATAGCTGACATTTTGAGAAATCCTCACTTTTTCTTTGAGATTCATTAACAGAAAAAGTCTATGGAAACCTCCCACCTTCTACCTTCTTTAGTGCCGACAGCAAGAGATATCTCTACTGAAAATGGGTTTCCTATATTTTGAATGAAATCCAGGCTATCTTTTGGAATGACTATTTGTCTTTTTATACTACTAGTGTTTAATTCCAAAATGGTTTCATTGATGATGCTTTTCTTTTTATATTTTATTAGCTTTAATTATGTCATTATATTTGTCCATGAAAAGTCAAGAACTGTATGCTTTGGTCATTTTAGAATAGCTTTCAAAGTGAAAATTTTGTTCTCTCATCAAGAAAGACCTGGTCCCCCCTCCTCATTAGCCTCCTCCTGTGCTATATTAATTCCAAAGTGTGGAAAGAAAAATATCTGATTATTTAATGCTATAGCATTAAATATAGAGACCTTATAGCTTATGATCTTTCTATAGTCATTAAAAGAAATAATTTACAAAACCAGGAGGACTTTAGACTTTGACAAAGTCCTATAGATCAATGAGAATTATGGAAGATTGTCAAGAAAACATATGAAATGAGATAATCATAACTCATTACCAGCCATTTTTGTTGTTGGATGAAGGTGATTCCTAGTCTCTGATGGTTGAAACCACCATGAAAACCAATCGTGGGCTTCTTGTTTCTTGGTTGCTGTTTTGGGAGTTGGGTCACTAGGGCTCATCAAAGCTGTCGTAACCAAAATTGATTTGATTGTTGAAAAATTAATTATCAGTTTCTATGGAATAGCATTGTGTATGCACTTACTCTTTTGCTATTCGAGACAATCATCTATACTTGAGGTAGATGGTGAAAAGAAAAGGAAATAGCGCAGAAGTCCCATTTGTTTCAGAGGCCCAGACTGGAGTTCACAGAAGGTCAGAGATGGAAGGACCTTAAATACCATCTGGTTCATGCTTGCCATCTTACAGATGAAAAAAAAAAATGTGCTGAAGTCAGAAAAGTTATATAACAAAGACTTCCCAAGAGGAGCATGAGAGATGCATTTGAATTTTTAAAAAATCTAGTGTAAAAGGGATTACATTTTGTTGGCACTCTCCAAAGCTCAAGCTAGGACCTCTGCTAAGAATTTTGGGAAATTGACATTCTTCCAAATGTTGGATCTCAAAGGTACTAATCTGAACTATCCAACAATGAACTTCTTCATAAAGTATTATATGCCCCACCATCAGAAGTTCACTGAGCAGGAAAGTTGTGTAGGAGATTAAATGATTAGAGCTGTTGACTGAACTAGACCATTTAAGATCCTCTTGAAATATGAGAGTTGGTTTTAAAACCCAGCTCCTAAGAGTAGTATGCTTCATCTTCTCTACAGTCTGTGTTAGCCAACCAACATCAATGTCCAAGATTTTAAGATATGATATTTCCAAGACTCATAACCCCTGCACTTTTAAAGACAGGGAGAATGACAGATGAAGTTTGGGAAAATGCCTTTCTACTTTCTTCTATGCAGAGTCCAAATCCTCCACCAACCTTATCCATGTTCACTTTTCATATAAACACTAACTTTGCAAAGCAGAACAGAGTATTTTGAGTCCCAGTTCTTGAAAATACAATACGCAATCAGGCAAGATAGAGATGAAGTGACCCAATGATGTCATCAATGAGAACAGAGGCAAGAGACCCGATTTGAAAACATCCAAAGACTGCCATTTCTGCAGCCATATTGTGCATCCGAAGAATATTAGAAAACAGTAGATGGAAAAACAAAACAAAACAAAAAAATTCAAGCAAAGATGCTGGAACCATGAGTAAATCACCAAACATGAAAGAAAGCAGAATTAGATTTCTTTTTCCAGCTATCAAGAAAGCCCAGAAACGACCCAAGATGAAGCAATGGTAAGATGTGCTTCACAATGATTGTCACAATATACTTTTAAAAATAGTGTATTTATCTCACTCCCTTCTTTCACACAATCACATACACACATATTATTAGCACCTTATCACTACATTATGCAATCATAATATCAGCACTAGATTCATTATACTAGTATTTGTTGAAATATAAATATAGTTATTCTATTAGTTATTAAGAGTTTAGTCTCGTAACTGTCTAATAAGTTAAATACAAAGGACCAATTTATTACTCTCCTTCTAGAAAAAGAATGCCTAATTATTTTGAATTATGGACATTTCCTCCATCAACAGTAGCTCATAAGTGAAAATACGCTTTTAGTCTACCTTTGTAACAGACTTTGAATCCTCTGCCACAAGTCTCTTATGTCAAAATACTTTGCAATAATTTAGAGTAAACAGTCAAACAGCCAGGGAGCTTGTTAGATTCTGATCTAAAGTAACAAATCACTTCCTACGCATTGCAGTGGAGGTTTCAGACAGCCACACAGTTGTCCAGGGCTTATAGTTTCCATCCATAAAGTGGCACTTCCCTGCTACTACCACTGACTGATAATTAGATCAGCTGGGAGTATGCATATCTAATTGACTTCTTTCTAGAGGGCTTGCTCTGAACATATTTTCTAAGCAAAGCTTCTGATGAGAAATACAATTCTGATTCTATGAGCATGTTCTCTAGAAGGAAAACAAATAAGATGTTTAGGAGACTCTGGATCTAAACAGGCCTTTCTGTAAGTGTAAAGATATCACACCCTGTAGTCACAGAGGAAGGGGAAGGAGCACATTATAGTGATGGGTAACCGTTTCCTTTAACACTGAGAGACCTGGCATTCAGGACAACAGTAAGCAAAAGACACAATAGTTTACCTGGCGTTGGTGTTGTTGTTCGATCCTGAGTCTTAGGCTGTGAATTACCCAACCAGGACCACATCCAATTATTTTGTTCCTGAGCAGCTGAATGTCTGTTTGAGTACACAGCTGAAGTAACTGGATCAATTATGAAAACATCGTTTAGTGAATTCTTTCCATGAAACCTTTATTCTCAGTCCTTTCTGTATGTTCAGTCTGTCCATTATAGAACGATGATTAGGAAAAACAAGTAACACCTGATTTTATCTTTCCAGTCTCCTAGACACATGGAACAGTATCAGAAATGCAAATGCACGGCAATTCAGTGCTGCTCATTCTGAGTAGCATCTGACACAGAGAGAATATCAAATGTGGATGGAGAGAAAGACTAGTTTACTAATCCTTGCTTCTGTTCAGTCTACTCTGTGCTAGTGAAATGTAGGCTCACAACAAAATCAAGCAGCTGATTAATAACCCGTGGTGGAAACAGATTTATTTAACGGAGGGTGTGACCTTGTCACGAACTAAAGATCTTCAACACCGCATTTTAGAAAGTTGCTTTCATTCATTCATTTATTTTGGGGGTATTTTTAGAGGTGTTGCCTGTGTGTTTCTGGTCTGTCATTGTTAAATGATAGTGTGATGACAACAGGCATTTCAAAGCTCAACCCACAATCATTAATATCAAGTCAAGCTTTATACTTGAGAGAAACTTTGCAAAGAATGTGTGCTCAAAGTGTTGAAATTAGATAAAGCTTCCTCAAGCATCTAACTAATAGTTTCTGTCACTTTTGATTTTAACTCTGAATGTGTTCCCAGAAAGGAAACAAAATTGCTCAAGTTAGAGAGATTTTGGACTCTGTTCAAATTAGAGGAAGGAAAATCAGTAATATTTTACAACTTGAAATCTCTCATTTGACTCTCAAGTTGGACTTGAGTCCAGAATGATTCCCTGTAGATGAAGAATAAAAAGACCATGAGGATAAGCATCTCAAGCAGTTGAAATCTTGAAAAACCACACCCCTTTGAAAGCCTGATAGAAGTTACAGCTTTTCTCCTCACGAAAGTGATCTACAGGTGTGCAGTCTCAAAATTTATCTCAGGTGGTTCTGCAGCACCTTCTGGCCTGTCATTGAATCTACAGGAAGTCCAGGACCTCCAGATTAAAAACTACTCCATCTCTGTCCACCAACTATCAACACCTTGCACACTACATTCTGTGCCACGAGGCTGTATTTGCTCAGAAAAGAGAGTAGAAAGAAAGCCATTTTCACCAATGATGCCCTCAGATAAATTGCAGCATCCCCTTGGAAAATTTAGATACCTCATTCTCAGCTCAGAAACTGTTTATTAAAGATGCAGAGTTCCTGCTGCCCTCAGCCTGTAAGATGCCAGGAAGTAGTATGCCAATGAGTAGTAAACACACAAGAGCAAGACAGAAATGGGCATTATTTCTGTCTTCTTGAAAGTTATCATGTGAAATTTTGGAAAATAGAAAAAGCACCAGCCTCACCAGCAGAGTTTCCAGTTTTCCCCACCCTTGGTTGTGCCAGACACCCCCTCAACCCCAACCTCAAATTATTTGACACCTAGAAGACAAAGAAATAGAGAAGTCCAAGGCAGGAGTCTGTTTCCTGAATTGGTTTGGATTTCTAGATTCCAAAGAAGTCCATTGAAAAGTGGCTGATGACGCGCCTCCGGAGGGTGCTTCCAAAAATAACATTTATAAAAAATGCCTGCTGAAGTCAATAACTACTCAGCTGGTTATTCTTATTGACTTTCCCTACTGCCACCCACTAAGGCTCCTAAAGGAGGGGTGAGCTAGCCGAGCCAGAGACATGTGCTGACCGACACTCAGCCAGCTCTCCTCTTGACCTCTGCTCTCGAAGTGCATTAGGAAGGATTTGTAACCACCACTCCCTCACTAATTCCCATCCACCATCCACCAGTGATACAGTTTTGGGAATCTCCTCACTGGACTTGGAAAACACAATCTCTTCAAGAACTTATCAGGTTAATTTTTCTAGTGTGTCATATAATTGTTTTCTTTGATGCCCTTTTTTGTACAAATTGGATTGTTTAGAGTCTGTTGGTTTATTGAACCCAGTATCATTTCAGGACTCTCAAATTCATCTTCCCTAGATACACTTTGATAGAAAAATGAGTCTGTCCCTAAACTACTAAAAGAAACTTGCTCTGAAAAGAGCAAAGTACAATTTTTTTTCCTCAACGCAAACCCTGAACCATCTTTCCTTGGAGTCTCCTACCATTCCTTTTCCTCCATTTCCGAACACTATATAGGCTCCATGAAGGTAGAGCTAAGTTAGTCCCAATTTCAGCACAAGAAAACCTGAAGCTCTGTTGAATGAAGAACCAGCTTACTTCTCTTTGATATCACATCCAATGGTGATTATTATCATCCATCATCACAGGCTTGGTCCTTAACATGAGCTTGCTGACTAACTTATTCAGGAAAGACATATGGCTTAAAAAATGAGCTATGAATGTTCATTAAAAGTGCTGATTATCTTTCTAAAGCATGTGTAAAATACTATTTTCTACAGGTTATTGGATACTTGAGTATCAGCATCAACATTCCACGTAGTACATCTGTCAGCATTTGTTTCTTTGGTGATAAGCACTCCTTGGAGTTGACCTGACCTGTATCTTGTTGAGAAGCAATGTCAATGTGGTTACTTATAAAAGACAAGGAGCCTGGGAGGCATTAAGTAGCCTGCAGCACTGCCAGCAGGTTAGTCCATAGGAGGGACCACAACGGAGGTGACAGTCTTGAGGCTGGCAATAAAGTGGGAGAGCAGTTTGAAAACTCTGCTTTTTGAAATGCTTCCAAGAATCTTAAGAAAATGAACCAAACCCCAAATCTATTTGTGCCACACTCTTAGCAAAGTACTCACAGAAAACTTCAGGAGGTTGCCCTGGCTTCTGAGTGAAGAGGCATAGCAAAAGGTCCTTTGGGAGCATTCAGGAGCTGGTAGGTTTCTGCCATACTCTTTGCAGCTCAGAGTCCCAACCCTGGAGAACCACAGCCAAGAAAGAGGGAAGGACGGCAGCCCCCATTCGAGGAAAGCCTCCGGCAGGCAGGTGCCCTGTTTGCACTTGAATGACCCTCTGAAAGAAGGCAGCCAATCCAGAAACCCATTTTAAAACAAACCATAGGTGGAAAGCAAAGCCGAGGAACAGAAGAAAAGAGGGAAATTTAAACACTTCCTAATGCAAGTGAAGTGTAAGGGACTAAAACCTCAAAGAAATCCCAAGCAGTGCTCACACGTTTGCACTCTCACTGCCCCAAAGTAATGAATTACCCACACAAACCAGACAAGTACTGGGAGCCTTCCCCACAGGCTGATATATAAAACACCTAAGCACGTTGAATTTGAGCAGATAACCTCTTCAGCTATGTTTCCTTAGACCAAAAACAGAGGAATGACTTAGTAAACCCATGGCAGATGGCTATATAGCAGAATCAGTAATGTGAGTATAAATCGGGTTCAAACATAAAACACAAAGTGAACTGGGAAAGGGCTTGATGGAATGGTAACCACGTGATCCCAGCCTTATGACAACAATCCTATCCACGGGCAGATAAGGGCAAGCAGGAAACAGGAACGGCTCTGTATCAGGCGCAAATGTCGCAATATCCCAGGACAAGGGGACAAGTGAATTGAGGCTACCAGAGGGTGAGGTGGGGAGCACACAGGGGACAAGAGCACAATGGACTGTGGTGGAGGACTGTGGGTGCCCTATGGGTGGGGTGTGGTGACATACACACGAAGGAGGTGATCCTGTGCCTCTAAGTCACACACAGTGTTGTGAACCAGTGCTACCTCAATAAAAAAGAATTTTACAAAAGCTTCCCACAGGGCATTTCTTGCCCCAAGGTAAGGAAAAAGCGTGTAGATGGAAAAGCACCTAAGTCATAGAAGTCAGCGTGGACAGGTCACTGGCAACCACCATGGCCCTTCCCCAAACTGGGTGGTCAGCTTCGAGCACAGGGCACAGTTGACACAGGAGTGCCTATCACTCCAAAAGGTCAGAGACATGTCTGCACTTCAGTGGCTACTGAAAAGCAGAGTGACGCCTTCTCCTTACTCGTTACAGTGTTGTCCTCTGGGTCCCTGGACACCATCAATCTGTCTTGGTCGTCGGTCGGGTGAGCAGTTGGCAGGTTTGTGTGGAAGATGTAACCTCCCGAAGTGCTTCTTTCGCTGGAGGAGCCACTGCTCATATCCTCCTCGGGGGCGCTGCTGTGGTTGATGTCTTGTGGGTTAGTTCTATATTCGCCTTGCTTGGTGTAGCGGGTGCCGTCACGGTTCACAATCGCTGCAAGGGAAAGGAGGCTCTTTCAGAATGGGCAGCTGACACGCTCTGAGTGTAGGAAAAGGCTGTGGGTGATCTTGTGTGCCTATGACTTCAAAGCTGTTTTGTTATTTAGAACCACAACACCTAATGACCAACCTAGTGTGTGTGTGGTTGGGGGCGGGGGTAGGGAGTGGACAGCTGATGTGTTAAGAAAGTGAACCCTCTGCAGCCCGCACACACTGGGAAGAGGATGCTGTTGAGAGTTCCAGTTTCATGTGGGTCTAAACAAGGAATTCTCTGAACCTCAGTTTCATCATTTGTAAAATGGCGGCTAACATTAACTTTTGTTTTGAGCATACTGTATGTTGTAAAGTGCTGAGAACAGTATTCAAAGTAAAACAGGTGCTTAGAAATAATATTCCCCCACCAGGTACTACCTCTCCCTTCTAAAGACATGCAAAATCAGTTGCTATCAATTGTGTCTCCTGCCAAAAAGGATTTGAAGTAGAAGACAAAGCAGTGATTAGCCTCAGCAGAGAAGATGTATTGGCGAACACAGGAAAAATTCGATTTTCTTTCTAAAGAGCAAATTCTGTCAGTTTCAGCAAGTTCTTACTGCTAGCTAGGAAGCCAACATGCTTAAATATTGACAGAGATGCTTCTACTTTCTGTGAAATTCAAACACAGAATTAACCAACATGGGTATATAGAAAGGTCAAAAATGTTTTAAACAAGAAGTGGCTAGAATGGACAGGGAGAGGAAAGGCAAGAATATTCACTGCCTTCAAGTCTGACATTTGGCTGAAAGGTGCATTTGGCTGAAAGATGCATTTGGCTGAACTTGTTTTCTGCTGTCTTCCATTAGTAGGGATAAAGATTCCTTTATTCACTTATCTGTTTTGCTTGCCCAAGTGGAACGACTAATAAAACAAACTTGTAAACATCTCAAAGTCTCAATCAACCTGATAATCTTTGCAGTGACAGATAAGGAAACACACAAAAATTGTGACTTTGAAAGAGATCCCTGGGAACCAAGAAAATGAGGCATTTACTGAGAATGAGCCAGGCATTCTTTAGACGTGTTATCTTTCTAATTTTCACGGCAATTCTCCTGTGTTATTCCATTACACATATGAGAACACGGAGGCTCAGCAAGAATAAGTCATTCCTCTAAGATCCCATCTGTGGAAAGGAACTAGGATTTCAAACCACGCTGGAGAGAGAGTACCTCTCACAAAGCCGAATTCCTCTTTCTTTTGCAAGACACAGGGCAGGGGCCGCACTATGCACATGGGGGACAGTCTGGAGCTAGATTCGTGCGGTCTACGAAGAGTTTTGCTTCCCTGGCTCCATCGCCCCCAGCCTCCTTGACATTGTGACATTCCTCCATTTTTAGGTGAAAATGGTATAAGTAAGGCTGAAACACATTGGGAAGTTCATACCCTTTATAATTACCTTTCAGCACTTTAGTTAAATAAATCAAAAAAAAAAAAATCTGAAGGGTGAAAATACTAACTCCAACAATACCCTTCTAAGAGAGCCCAAGACTCAGACTCAGAGTCTATAGTTGATAGAATTTAAGAATATTACTTTATTTTCCCGCACAAATATTTTAAAGGTTGCCTTCTACTTAAGTATCTGGTTTTCCATTTGCCATTCCTTTTTTCAAAAAATAAATACCATTTAAATACAAAAGAATGAGTCAATTAAAACTCATAGATGATTGTATTGTATATAAATAAGTCACAAAAAAAATGACCATGGTTTTCAAATGACTGAATTTGAGGAAAAAGTTTTGGGGTCAACCAGAGAGTAGTATGAAGTCATAGCAGGAAAAAGGAAGGGCTATTGAATCACTGATATTGTCCCCAAACTTAGGGACGTGGCGACTGTTCAAGCAAGCTATATGCCATAAAAAATGCACCTGGTCCCTTTCCCAAAGATGGGGAGACTCAGTCAAACCCAGATGAGATACGTACTTATGGAGACAGGACCTTCAAAGGTATTGGGCAGGTCTGTGATTGAGGTACAGTCTTCTTTCTTTTCTGCAGCTGTTGGGTGGAAGAAAAAAAAAAAAAACCCTTGAGAACACCAAAACACATAAGTTAAAAATCTATTTCAGTTCTGCCAGTTAGGATAGAGCTTTATTTTAGCCAGTGCCATCCAAATAATTGTCTTTTTCTGAAATTTAGCTGTTTTTTAATTATCTGGTCTCTGTGATGCATTTTCTATTTTTATTTCATGGATATCTGAAAGAAAATACTTGTTTCCCTACCCGATTCAACAAAATTATTGGTTAATAAATACATATATCCTGTACTAGTCACTGTAAATGTTGAGTAAAATAGACACAATCCTTTCCTGTGCAGAACATGCATTGAAAGTTATTTTAAGCTATAAAATCAATATGAACATATTTTAAAATAAAGAAATGTATGCACTGTAATGAGAAAAACCATGTATAATCACAATAACCTACAGAAATGATGGAAAAAGATGACATGAACCCTATGACAATCTGAAGATTAAAATAAAGAATTTGATAGAAATATTTAAAAACAACTGAATCTTTCATCTTTTTATTAATGTATTACTTTACTAATTTAGCTAATCTCCTTAAGAGCCTACTCAAGGCTGCTTCTCAATATGTAGTTTCTGAGACTCTCAACTTTTGGCTTAGGTTTCTCTAGAATATCTCTTGTTTTAATATATCTCTGATTTTTCTTTTTATTTTGTCCTCTATCTATGTTGTACCTTGCCCCCTTCTTCAGGAATTAAGACTTCTGCCTTAGCTTGGGCCTGCCTAATCACAAACAGACATCACTAGGAGTCCTGTGAATAACATACTTGAAAACCCTCATAAAGCAGGGCCTGGGGCCCTCGATGGTGGCTCAACAAGTTAAAGTGCAGCTCTATGATGCTATCCACAGCCACTGCCATGTGAGTTTGATCCTGGGCCAGAGAGCTCACCCACATGGCACAACAGACCTCTCCTGCTTCGTCCCCCGCTCTCCTCAGCAGTGTATTTCAGTTAATCTGCCTGTTCTACTTTCCACTCTATCTGCAGTGAATCTTCTCATGGCCCCTGCACCTTTGACCTGTTCCCCAGTTCTGGATATATAAATAAACCTTAAAAAAAAAAAAAAAAGATTCCTCAGAGGAGAAACTCTTTAAAGAGAAATGGAAAGACCATTTCTCACCAATGAATCTAAACCAGATCCTCATTCTCCTCTAAGCCCCCAAATGTTGCATGTTATCCTGCTCTCCTTTGGTCTTCAGCTTCACCCTATCTACAATTATCTTGTTCATTTCACTTAACGGTTGTTCATGGCTCATGTCCAAACCCCTGCTGCCTACTATCCACCTACCTCCATTGAAATGTGAGCTCTGCATGATAAGTAGCAACCTTGTCTGTGTTGGCTGGAATATTATATGGGATGGCAACAGAGAGATGTTCAATAAATGTATTTTGATGAACACAAAAGGAAAGAAGGATCAATCTAATTTCCCAAGGGTTGAGTCTTCCAGTTAGCCTACCTCCGATGTTAACCCCCACAGTGCTCTGCTTACAAGTCAAGAAGCATTTAGGTAATTCCTGAGTAACAACGCCATAACAAGTGATTCAAGGCAGCTACAGATCTATCAGCATGTTTTCCTTTTAAGCATTTACTCATCAGATTCACAAAACATGGGAGGACAATAACAACTCATATTCCTTTAGGCTTTTCCATTTAAAAAATTATTTCTCCATAATTCCTTCATTTGAAAGTCAAGGCATTTAGCCAACCTGAGAGGCTTTTTAGGGTCACAACCCTATTCATTTGGGAACAGCACCAGAAATGGTGAGATGACTCTGATGTTCTTACATGGCACAGAGCCAGAAACAGAACCACCGCCTCCAAATTCAAACCTAACTGCAGGTAACTGTAGTGCACAGGGAATTTCCAGGAGCAGAGTTGCCAGACTGGGGCATCATGTCAAAACCATTAAGATGGTTTTGTAAATGACTAAGGGCTTTTGTTCAAGTGGACCCCCTTCATGCTCCAATTCACCTACACTTTCATAAAGAACATCAAATCTGGCAGCAGGCTAAGACGATGGTGACCCAAATGCGCGGTTAACATGCTCAGTCTCCCATGCGAGCTAAGAGGACCATACTAGTCAGCCTTTCATTCCATTTAGTGGGCAAGGCAATGCGGGGAGTCTCCCGTAGTGAGACTTTCCTAACCCAAGTATTCACTAGATTCTGAGGTGGGCTTCCTGGTGGGCTGCATTCTCAGAAACCATCTCTCCACTGCACCAAAATAACTAAGGTACAGGAACTCTTCAGTCCAGCCAATCACCTGTTGCCAGATAAAAAGCCACCTTTCCCCTATTTGCTATGTTCTAGGTGTCCAATAAATATTGTTGAGTAATAAATACATAATGAATATACTAACAAATGTAGAATCCTCAAACTCACTAAAGTCTGCCTTGAAATGAGGATGAGGCTTTTGACTGAAAGCAAATTTAAAAAACGAACTCTCAAATCAGCTCTCTGTTGTGTTCACAGAGAAGACACCAGGCCTAACTAATGAGGCAAAAAAAAAAATCATGAGGTTGCCCTTAATTTAATTTGTAAACCACGGGTCAGAGTTTCCAAAAATTCTGCAGGACTTTTAAACATACAGAAGCTTTCTGCTAAGATCAGGTGCTTTGGTCCCTATAGCCTGTTGAGGGGACATCATCATACCACCAGTTTGTATCAGGCGAGGCTGGAGTCAAGGAAATTTCTAGTGAGACCCTTATCATAGAAGTTTCTAAAGAGTTGTAGCTCATATAAACCCCCAACCCACTGACTCTCAGACAGACATTTAGAATGTATTTATCTTCAGAAAAATGTTCTCTTGTCTCCCAATTTAGCAAGATTATTACCCCCAAGATAACAAATATGGCATTAAGTTCTTTTTCATCCCATTTCACAGTACTGAGTCTATACAGGTGATCAAAGGACACTGTTTTTTAAAACTTAAAAACTTATACCAGCAGCCAGTCCACTTTGAGTGTATTTGAAAACTAGAAAAGGAAACATTATTTCTAATTTGACTACTTTAAAGAACCACTTTGATCAGTAAAACAGCCATCATATTCTTGAACTTTTCAACTGGATTAATATCCCAAAGGAAGTATTGTTGATTCCACTTCCTGAGAACAGACTTACCCTTAGGGGAAAGAGCAAGGGGAAGGAGAGAAGTCTCAGTAGTGACCTGCCCAGGTAGCTTCAATTCGAGATAATAAGACAGTGGGCTTTTGCCACCATTTTGGGTTAAGCTTACTTTCAGCAGTGAGACACTGTGGAAGTGCAGCAACATGATGTGCTACATATATTCACTTAACAAGATGCAGTGGTACACAAACCTTTAGGAGGCACAGAAGGCCCAATTTGAGAAGCAAGACATTCATCTGACTGTTGCGTCCTCAGCAGTTCTCAAGGACAGGCAGTGGCATTGTTAGCCTTTGGCTACAGACCAACCCCAAACTCTCCCCTCCCATCTTCCTCTGACTTCTGACAAGATAGCTAGACCATTGGCTGCTCTGTGTCTATTTCCTGTGTATTCGCACATGGTTTTTTTCCCCATAATCATGGCATTAGAATAGACATTCTGCATAAAGACCGTATATCACTTAGCTTCATTGAATGGACTCCTCCTCTGTGGGTCAAATTTATTTTGTTCTTTACTCACGTGTCAAGGAGATTAAGCATTCTAAGACTTTCTCCTTATTTTGTGTCTCTCCATAGGTTCAATGATCTGTATGAATCTGACATAAGCTACTGGTTTTACACATCCCCTCTGATCAACCCTGATACATGCCCTCATTCCAAAACTCTCGTTTTCTCCTCTGGGTTCCCACTAGGTCTATTCTGTCCGTACAAAAGCATAGGGGAGGCAGGTGTTGTCTAAAGCTACTGATATAATCTCACAGTTCCTCTGATGTCTCTACTTTAGTGAAAAATGCATGCAAATTGCATATTCTACTACCATATATAATATCTGTCATGTAAAAAAAATGCTGTAAGTCATTGTGGAATAATAACTGAGTTTATCTCATATAGTGTCTTAAATCACTTCTCAGCTAATTTAACATCCACTTCTCATCCTTAATGCAACTGACAGTTCAAGAAGATATGTCAAGTTTAATTTGTGGCTTGTCTTTTCCTTCACACAATCTCAAACCTTTAGGGGGAACAGAAGGCCCAATTTGAGAAGAAAGACATTTATCTGATTGTTGGCATTTAAAACTTTGACTTTTACGGGGTTGACCTATCTCAAAAGACCCTGAAGATTCATGATGCCGAGAATTCTTCAATCTTGCTGGGGCCTGAACGAGACTTGTAAACGTGAGTTTCTAAACTAATGTTTGGGGCTAAGTCCCTCAGACAGGGAGGGGGCTGGGCCAGCAGCACAGTGCACACAGCTGGGCCTCTCTTATCGTCTAGTTGTCAGGCTCTCAATTGTTGCGTAAAGACACGCAAGAAGGTCAAAGACCTACAATACATCCTCCCAGCCTTCCCTTCAGCCCCAGCCCGTAATACAATCTCCAAGTCCTTTGCCTTTCCTCTAGTGCTATTAGATTCATGCCACTCTCTACTCAGAGCCTGGTAGTGGCATCCTAGACTCTAAGAATAAAGTCCAACTCCCTTCCATAGCCTTCGAGACTCTGTGCAGTCTGACCTCTGCTGACCTCTGTTTGTCTCTATTCATTGGCATTCGCCCTCTGGGGTTCCACCATGCTTTAACACCATCCTCACCCCCAGCTTCTCTGCTGTTCTGGGGGCCACAGGATGCCCCCAAGGCCTGGCTTGGCTCTGTCTGTCCAATCCAGCCTGGCTCTCTCTCCCACTTCAACCAGGACTGTCCTAAATGAGCCTCCTCAGAGACATCTTCCTGCCCACCTCCCCCATGAAGTGTTGTTAACATGCTGCAGTCTCTTGCTCTGCTTTCTTCCATCTCACAATTTGCACTTGCTGCTTCATATACGTTATTTCATATTTATCTGCTTACTGTTGGCCTCTCCAGCATAGCAAGTAAACACCTGGACACAGGAATCTGGTCTCTGTTATAGTGATATTCTGTGAGCCTCTGTGCTGTGAGCCTCTGTGCTGCGAACCCCCACTTTAGTCAAAGCTGAATGGCTATAGGTCTCATTGCCAGAGTCTTCCCAGGCTGAAATGCAAAGATCATCACCTAGAACCCACCTGAGGCGTTGAAGCAATAGGTGTCATACTGGGAGGTGTTGGACGTGAGGATGTACACCCCTGTGTTGTTGGCAGCACAGATGGCATGGGGGTGGATCCGAGGAATCACCACATGCCCTTGAATGAAACCATACCTGCAAAAGGAAAGCCAGAGGTTACCTGCAAGGCAATGACAGGGATTTCATAATCTCCCATCCAATGACATTTCTCAGGGTGCCCTGCTCTATTCCATTCACCCGAAGGGTTGTGAGCAGTTGTTAACAACGGAGGCTGTGAAATCCAAAAAAAAATAGCTGAGGGAGAGGAAAAGGTATAAACACAGCTGACTGAGACAAAGTTATTTTAGTTAGAGCTCTATAAGGAACTTTTAAAAAGAGATTCAGAAAAGAAGTGATCACTCTCCAGTAACATCTGGGTATCAAGTCAGCTGTAGTGAGCAAAGGGAAGAGAGAAGAATGATGGGTGATCCACTCTGGCTTTACAGCATCCTCATACCTTCCAGAAAATAGCCAAGATGACCTCACTCCCCTAGCCCATCAGAGAGGACTCGCTGGTTCTTTGTTTCAATCCACAAATATCAAAACTGCCTTCTGGTCTCTCCTACTCTTTCCTGGCTCTTCCCCTCCTCTATTTCCTCTCCCCAGTCTTCCTTACTACAAACCGATAGCCTGTTTACAGCCTGACACACAGCACATTCTACCCCACGAGGTCCTAGGCTTCATTCCTGTCAGGAAGCAAATGGACCATTATAAAAATGAGAGAAAGATTTCTGTTTCTTTTCTCTATAATAAACTTTTTCTTTCCCTAATCAAGAAAGAGAGAGAGAGGAAGGGTGAAGAAGTAGTAACAGCAATACCCCAGCAATTTTCCAGAAGCAGCTCAGCCAGCCAGAGCTAAAGCCCCACTGCCCTCACCAAGCTGTTTCTGGGACCCTGTGAGAACCAGAGACCACTTCAGACACACCGACAGCTGCAACCTCTTCTATCAGTATCCTGGTGGCGAAATAACCCCCACACAATTGCTCCTAAATATGCGATGCCTCCCACAGTGAGATGGACTGAGAAAATACCAATTGCAAGGGAAGAAAGGGTGGAAGCCAGCAAGGGAGACGCTAAATCCGGCAGGTTTTTAAAAATGCAATGCTGGCTGAAATGCTCAGCACAGAGCCTTTTAAGAGCCTTTTAATCTTTCTTTCCCGGGGCAAGAGCACATGATGCATCACCAAGAAGATCCAGGGAAATGGCTGTGAGTTCAAAATTTCTAAGCACATAGAGCTCATTATGCCGATGTTGCAACTGTAGCCTGGTGACTAATTCTCCTATGAACCACAGACTGGTTTCTCCCAAGAATCTTTAGCTCGGTGGGGGGAGGGATGCAATTAAATGTTAATAAGTTTCCATATATTTGAGAATTGCCACGAATCAGGGCAGGACAGACAGAAGCCAGTAGCTGCTAAGGTTTGATCCTGCTAGCTGAGTCTTGGGCATCTGTCCTGTGGCAGATGCTTGATTGAAAGCTACCTGAGTGAAGAAAGCGTTTGTCAACACTTAAAGCCAGGGATGAATGAGACAGTAGATTTCTTTGGAACTATTTTTCTTTTCTTCTTTTAAAATAATGATGCTCTGGGGTAAGCCTGCTCCCCACATCACCTCCCAAGGGTTCGGTATATAACACTGCTATTCTACTATCCAGGCCCTTTTTTGGTTCTTCCTGAGTATTTGCAGCTTCACAGCAGCGCTGTGCAAGCGCAGAGGATATTTAAGATGCATGTAAAATCTATGGGTGTGGTGCAGCCCACCAGGACGAAAGGCATGACTCAGCAAAGCCAGGCAACAGGCTTCCCTTTTGCCCTCAGCCCTTTGGAAAGACTGCATGACTGAAGTCTCATCCTGGGCTGACAGAAAGCAGCACCAGAATTGTGCCTCCTCCCTACGCAAACGACGGGCCCAGCATGAGGATAGAACTCCATGTCTTCGTCCACAAAGTGGGATCTATCATCAACCATGGTGCAGCCTAAGGATGAAGGGAGGGTACAGGTAAAGGAGTGGGGCTGCCCAGCATCCACACACTTGCTGACTGGCTGGTGAAGTAATAAAAACTGGCCTCATTTTCAACATCGGAGAAATTTCTTCATTTCCTAAGTGTGCCTTGTCTGTATTTCACAATCAAAATTCACCTTCCAAAATTCACTTGCTTAGGCTAGAGGCCTCGTCAGGGTCACATGGAAACTATTAGCCCTGGGAATAGAATAGACGGCTCTGCTCGCTGGCCGTCCTCACAGCCACAGCCCCGGCGCAGAGGTACTGAGCCATCTCCCTTCCTGCTCCTCTCGGGCGCTCCCAGATGTCGCCATGAACACAGGCCACGTCTAGTGCCCTTTGCCTGTGTGAGAGAGCAGTGCTGCGATCACTGTCTGTGGTGGTGAAAGTGCTCTGTGACCCCTGTCCAGCCCGGGGGCCCTTGGGCATTGTGGAGAATTGAACACTTGAAGAGCAGGAGTGCCCCTGAAGAACCAAATTTTTTCAATTTATTTTTCAATTTATTGGTGGGTGTGGGGGGGAGTGTGTGTGAAAGATTCACCAGAGACAGAGTGGGGAGCAGAACAGGCAGATGTGTTACAGGGTAGCCCAGAGTGGACTGGGCCGCCTGTCTGTGGGGCCTCACCTGCGTACTCACAACTCAGTTACACTGCAGGTACACACAAAAGAGTCAAAAACAGGTTTATTTACAAAAGGGGAGAGGAATAGGAAACAACCCAGGGAAAGAGAGTGGCGTACAAAGTAAGTGGAATACCTTACGGCTAGGCTGACTGAACACACCGAGTCACAGGTCAGGAGAGCGGCTTCCCCAGTGAGAGAGCAAGATGCAATCTCGCCCTATTTATCCCCCCAAAATGTCCCAGAATTCCTTCCTGCTAGCTCCGCCCTTGGGTCCTCCTAGTTCTTTCCCTAGTACTGCTGGGAGTTGTAGTTTCCGATCACTGGAGTAGGGGGTAGTGTCCAGAAAGCTGGAGTAGGGGGTGGAGTCCATAAGACTCTGCAGAGTTCCTTTAGGACACCCTTCCCCTTAACAGATGGACTGAAGCACACTGCTGAGGGGAGCAGCGGGTGGGTCAGGAGAGGTCTGCTGTGCCATGTGGGTCAGCTCCCTGGCCGGGATGGAACTCAGGTCGTAGTGGTGATAGCGCTAAGGCCAATAGGGAGGCCCAGAAGAACGAGTTTTAATCTCCATTTGCATTAAGTGCAAATGGCCGCACAGGGCCAGCGGCTACCATATCAGATGACGTGATTTGAGAGAGGAGATTTTCCTTTTCTCTCTCAGCAGGAAAGTCTCACAGTCTTGGCTATGCTCCTCCTGTGGTGGCTTACTCTAGAAGCATGGGCGGGGCAGGTTATTTAATTCCCATTAAATGGTTTCCATAAAGCGTTCTGCCACTTGAAGTTAAAAGGCAGCCTGTGTTTGTATGTTTATACGTGTGTGCTGTATGTGAGGAAACTCATTGCCTAATGACACTGCATTGCAAAAGCACCAGGCAGACTTGGTGATGGGAAACCTGCGGGGATTACAATCGAGATGGAAAAAAAAAAATGTACAAAATGATGTAAAAATAAACTTTTGAAAAAGAAAAAAAAAAAAGCACCAGGCAGTGGGGAGCTCAGGCGACAGTGGAAACTTGCTTGTTCAGGTTGCCCAGAGATCTTCTAGTGCAAACAAACCAAATGAAAACACTTCACCGTGGTCGTGGTCAACACCACTGCTTGCTCTTAAAGTGCACCACTTGCCACAAGATCATCGGAATTAAAAAAAAAAAAAAAAAAGAATTTCCTTTGCCTGCTGTGATTAACCTGGAGTAGAAGGGCTTAGGGCCTCAGGGGGGTTCCAGGGTGTGGTAACACCTCGCAGGCCTCACCGGGGACCCTGGTGCACCTCTCAATCACTTCCCAATCACTTGTAATAGCATACTGTAATAACTGTCATGCCTTTTTATGGACCCTGTCAAATCTGATAGAAAGAAACTCTGGGGAGGGGGAGGAGCTTGAAATGTTTGCTTTGAGCCAAGACTGCAAGGCCAAAACTCTACCAGGTACGTATTTATTTTGAACATTGTTATTTGGTTTACATCTTCTTGTGGTTTCGACAATGATATTGCATGCTTCTTCAAAGCCAGAAGAAAGCTGTGGAAGCACTTTAAGCAAGAGCATTCCAGCCCATGACCCTTAATGGCCTCCTCCAAGCAACCCCTGGATGATTCACAAAGGTGTCTTCAGCTGCCTTTCAATTCCAGTTGTCCTGCTGGTTCCAGATCATTGACTAGCGCAAATGAATGGGTGGGGAAGCCCTGCAGGCGGTCACCCATTCAGCCTGCCAGTTGGAGTCGTGCCCCTGGGCCCAGGCTGCCAGCTTCCCACAGCGGGCCTTGCAGTCCCTTACCTGCAAGTCTCAAAACCGGCTTTGAGGGCGTTCTCCATCTGGGCCATGGTGGGCAGCGTGGTATTGAAAGCCTCGCAGAGGTCAGCAGCCTCCGTCCTCGAGATGCTGTAGCGACCATTTTTCTCCACGTGGAATACACCCGCGAATCGGCAGGTGACATTCAAATCTGTGGAATGAAACAGAACTGTTAGATCCTTTTGCAGACATCTTGTTTTAGAGTAGACTCATTAAAAGGGGAATAAACTTTTCTACTGGCCAGAGCCAGCCTTCTGGGATCTCTTCAGCCTCCCAAATCACTTTAGGCTCAAATCGGAGATAAGGCGGTGTAAATTAGCATCCTTCTAACATTCTCTCCATTGATTGCTCCACAACAAAGCCTTGTAAAGCATATGATTTATTTCTGATTATTATTTCTGATTATACAAACTTGTGGGAAACTGACAAAATTAGAGGAAGAATTGAAGGAAAAACTCTACCTCTGAGAAAATTACAGGATACATCTTATCATGTTGCTGTATCTTTCTTCAGGCTGTTTTTTCTGAATATGTACATGCATATATATGCAAATGAATGTATATACAATGTCTGTATACTAGTACATATACATGTTTCCATAGTTAAAATGGTACCAAACATACAATTTTAGATTTGGGAGTCTTTTTTCCACTTAATTGTATATGGTAAGCATTTCCTTGCAATCATGTGATGTTTGTTCTTTTCTTGTAACTTCCAGTGGTTTCCAGTTGCACCCAGAATAAATTTCTTTATCATGGCAGATAAGACCTATCTGGTCTGGCTCCTGCCTCCTTCTCTAAACTGTAAGAAGCTCATACTGCTCCAGGAACAAAGCTCTCCTTTAATTCCTTTGGCTAGTCTGAGTTCTTTCCCACCTTGGAACACTTACATCTGTATTCTCCTCTCTCTGGAACTTTCTGTCCTTAGATCTTCACATCCATGCCTTTCAACTTTACAACATTTCACGTTGGAGTCCTTATCTGAGCACTTTTATCCAACCCTCTTCCTCTCCTCACCTTGCTCTTAGGTTTCACAGCAACTTGTTGATTTATTTATGTGTTTGGTTATTCTCCATCACCTTTGCTGTGATGTAAGTTCTGCTTGTTCACAGATGTTTCTCCAGCACTAGCACAGTGACTAATAGAGTAGGGGCTTGCAGTCTTGCTGAATGAGTAAATAACTCATTGAAATTCCTCCAAAGCATAACTTTACCATCTTGACTTGTTTGCACCCAAGAGTTAGTGGTCTAACACTCAGAACTGGTTATGAATTGTTTGATGCAAGCACTTCTGTGGGGTTTGCAGACATAATCTGAGATTTCAGTAAAGAGCTGAAAAATTATCTTGTTCTACCTGCTCCTATGTAGCAACTTCCAAAGACTTCAACTGAAAACTCATTATTCTTCCGGGTCTGTATTACCCTTGGATTGCACTTGAGTAAATACCAGCATAGAAAGTTAAGTCATTGAAACTGCACTATTAAAGCATGAGTCCTGCCTAGTGCTTCCCTGAGCTTCAAAGACAGCTACCTCAGAAAGAAGATGGATATTTGCTGTGGCTATGAGGGGCACATAGGGACCCATGTGCCAGGTGGGGTACTATGCTGCAAGTTATGAGCCAGGTGTGGGTCCAGACATATTTACTTTGGCTACCAGGGACATGCTGGGACCCACATGCAAGGTGCGGTACCATGCTATAAGTTAAAGCCAGGTCTGGATCCAGACAGACCTGTGTATGTGTGTGTGTGTATGTGTGTGTGTTTTAAAGGTTTGTTTTTATTTATGCATACAACAGTTGGGGTGCAGGCCAGAGGTGCAGGGGGTGAGAGGATTGACCAGAAACAGAGCGGGGAGCAGAATAGGCAGATCCACTGAAATACTGCTGAAAAGAGCAGTGGGTGATCCAGGAGCAGTCTGCTGGTGGGTCAGCTCCTTGCCCAGAGGATTGAACTCACCAGGCAGCACTTGGTAGTGCTGAGTTTAAACCCTGCATCACCAGGGAGGCCCCAGACAAAATTGATTTTAACCCAGACTACCTCTCAAGCAAAGGGTTAGCTCCAAAGGTAGTCAGGAAGATGTTGCTTATTTACAGTGGGAAGATCAAGACACAGAGGAGAGGTTGCCAGGCAGTGAGCCTTCTTGCCTAGAGCTGTACCCTCCTGCCAGAACCTTAGATGCTTTGTTTTATATTTCTGAGCTGGTAACAATGGAGAGAGGGAGGCTGCTTCTGCCCTTTGGGATTCGGTGTTGTATTTTTTGCCAAGAACTTTGAGAAGTAAGTTTTATGTGTACAGGTACACATTTCTAGGTGAAGAAATTAAGCTCAGAAAAATTAAATGGCTTCCCAAAGTGGCCCAGTTATGAAGTGGCAAAGCAGGAATTCCATCTCAGCCTGTCTCACACCCAAACTCGTTCCAAACCCCTTGGCTGGGTGCCCCAGATTCTTCCATAACACTGGTGCTAGGCTTCACTTTGAAGGGGAGAGGTGCCCCTAAACAACTCTTGAACATTTACAAAGACAGGTTCAGTCTTACTGAATGGCACAGGCAACAGCTGCTTTCTCCTTTCTTGGCAGGAAGTGGGTTCCAACCACTAGAAAAAAAGTGTCTGATAAGTAGAAAATGAGATGGCAAAAGAACTGTTCATGGGCTACAGAAATTTCTTGACTCTAAACATAGTCCAAGAAAAAGAATCAGAGCTTTGAAAAGACATAAGCCAAAATCAACTGCTTTTCTTTTCTTTTTCTAGTATGGTTGCAGGGCATCCCTGATCTGAAATGGGTTGCCTGACAGTGGGCCTGACCCATGCACTTAAAGAAACTTATAATAAAACTCAACTGCAGGCACACACAGAAAGGTTAATGATGGGTTTGTTTATAAAAGAAAGGGAAAGGAATAACTCAGGGAAAAAGAGAAAGGGATAGTTGGTTAATGGGTCCTACCAGTTCTGCTGACCTGGAAACCCAATAGCATGCTGAGAGCCAGTGAAAGCCAAGCGTCAAGCCACAAGCCATGAGGCCAAGAGACCCCCAAAGGCCCACATGTCTGGTTTTATATAAAACATGGATGCTTAACTCCACCCTCAGGCCCTAGTAGTCCTCCCTTGGTGATGATGAGATCTGTAGTTCTGGTGTCTAGGGCGGGTATGGTGTCCATAAGCCTGTATCTGTAGTGTCCATTCAGGACATCCTTTCCCCCAATAGTATCACTACCATGGAGGTACTTTTAAAAGCATCAAAAGTAGGCAAAGTGAAGACAATGTGTTTCTGTGCAGTCCTTTTAGGGTCTAACAGCGTGCCTCTTAAGCCACTCTCACAACACTGGGTGATGCGAGAACTCAGAGGAAAGAAATGCTCAAGGCCCTTTTGAAATACTATTTGTTTTTATTGAGATTCATCTTTGGCCTTGTTGGTCAATCTAAGCAAAAGGAACCTGTCACTCCAGGTGACAGCCTTCTGGGAGCACTCCTTGAGCAGCATACAAAGGAAACAACAGCCTCCAGTCAGCTTCTTGGATGTGAGGCTAACGGGGAGACTTCAGCAGATGCCTAGAGAGGCCAATGGCTTGTCAAGGCCTGGCCAGGTGGTGACTGTCACTCCTAGGTTAAAAATAAAGCTTGGCTTGGAGCTGAATGGCAGTTTCTATCTTATTAAAATAAATTCAAGTTTGCCACCTGGCACACAGAATATGCAAATGCAAAAGGAGCCAACTCAGGCTAAGGCTTCTGAACAACTCCCCTGAGTTACACCAGTAGCCACCCTGGTGACTGCATAGACCACAAATAAATGTGTGAGGATCTCTAAGTGAGTGTGTGGTGTGTGCACTTGTGTTAGCCCAGAAGGGAAGAAATAGATATCAATCTTGAGCTTCCTAGAAGCTTTCATGGGGCCCAGCAGAGGTAATACCAGCAAGGGCTGCCCAGCAGCATTGCAAAGATGGCGTCAAACTTCTTGTCCACTCACCTATCCCCAGGAACATTCATTGTCCCTCCTGCCTGATGGCTTCTTGCCTCCAAAAGAACCAAGCCTTCAGGGTTTTCTATCACTGGGTCCTGATAACTCAAGAAGACATCCCAACAGGCTTCCCTAACACTCCAGCAAACCCAAATAAGTACTCCAAAGGTATTGTTACTAGCAGCAGCAATGATAGTAGTGAATACATATTGCATTGTGTCACTGACAGAAAGTCAGACACATGTCTAAGCACTTCGCAGGCATTAGCTCAAGGTAGGCCACATTATAATTCCCCTTGTCTAGATAGAGAAACGAAGACACAGAGTGGGGAGAAAACAAACCCAGGCCCACACATCTGGCATTGGTGGGGCCAGGATTCAATGGAACACAGAGTCCGTAGGCTTAACCACATGGTGCGTCCACATGGTGCATTCATGTTAAGTTATCATGACCTCTAACCTCCCCAGCGCAGAGTTGAGAGTATTCCCTAGGTTTAAGTAAAGTTAGAGTAAGGCTGAGGGAGGAGTAGCCATAGACCACCCACCAGTGAACAAGTTCAGTGTCCATGGTAATGGCTCCTGTCACACTGCAAACCTCTTCAGGGAGGCAGGGCTCCCCAGACGTCTGTGCATCTCTCCTGAGAAAGAGACCTCTGTGATTCAGATCTGCTGTGACTCAAGAGACTAATATTAAAAGGCCGATTGCATCTCTCAAACAAGCCTTTCCAACTGGAAATAAATCAAGAATGTCTTCCGTTGGGCCCTCTGGTCTCCAATAAATCTTCTGTATCATGTAATAAATAAACAGTCTCTCTCCCTCCCTTGGAGACTCAATGAGCCACATTAACTGTTTAAAATTCAGGGAGGAAGCTTCCTGAAAGAAGAAGTGACACTCAGACCTTTAGATTGGAAGTGACTATGGGATTGCAGGAAGAGAAGCGGGGTATCAGGACTCAGTCCCCAAGTATCTCATCACCCACACAGGAAGAAGTCTAACAGTGACCTGGTAGGAGGACTAAAAGAAGCTCCTCTCTAAGAGGGGGTCCATATTGTCCACCTCACGTTAAGCTTGGTCATTCAGCTTGTTTGGACCCAGCCACAGCTGGGGTCAATCCTGATCCTGCCACTTGCCCCAGGTTAAATGCCAGTTAGTCCCTTCACCTCTGGGGATGACAATGCCATCCTATCAGGGTTATGGGACT